GTCTCCGGGCCACGCGTGCGGCGGTCGGTCATGCGATTCTGCGTCTGTCGTGGGAACGGTCCTCTCGGTCGGCGAGTCGGTACGTGCGGGTCCGGTGGCGCTGAGGAACTCGGGCAAAACGAGGAACAAAACAAAACGGAAAAAAATAACCCATCGCTGTCCAGTTTCAGAACGTGCATGTGACAAGGAATTCTTTTTTTCTTTTTTTTTTTTTTTCAATTAATTAAATGGCGCAATGAGGTTACGAGGTTGCTCATTTGGAGACTAGTTTTCAGGTGGCTCTTAGCCCATGAAGCAAGCTGGTCCCACCTCGAATCCAAATTTCTGTGACGCTTCTCCGAAGTCATTGAACATGATGTCGACTATAGGTACTTGCTCTACTTTGGGCGTGTTGATTTCCAGGACAGTCTTCTGATAGCCCTTCTTTGCCTGATGGGGGGAAGAGGGAGAGAGAGGAGCTCTGAGGGTGCCTCCAACCCAACATCAGCAACTTAGCATCAATCAGCGTTCACCACTCAGCTGGGAATACGGTGATGACCTTGCCCAGGCATCTTCTGAGCTGAATTAAAGGCACCCAGCACCCAAACGCACATTTGACCTGCAGATTTAGCAGACATCCTCCCAAGCGGGATGGTGACCACCGAGATGACTGTTCCTGAGCCCAAACTTTGGAGCAGAAGCAGCTGCTGCCACGCAGATCAAAAGACACTAACTCTGCTGTCAGCACATCTCAGAGCTGGAACAAGAACCTGGTAAAATTGTTGTGGCTGTGGTATAGTTGTTTTGCCTCCCCGAGGACACGCATGGGTTGCTGAGCAAATGCGAGCGATTTAATTTGAATATATTAGTTTGACTATTATCCGAGCGCTACCGAAAAGATCACATTTAAAGTTTGATGGAATTCACAAGGTGATGTTGTCTTTTTATCGTGCCTGGGAGCCATACAGTTATTTCCGAAATATAAATAATTATTAGAGGAGCAGAAGTGCACCCGAGGGCATACAAAGCTGCACAAACAAGTGAATTTATGGAGCAGCTTTTGGCTCTACCTTACCCTCTGATTTGTGTGTCTCGGTAGAATAGGCTATATCACAGCTACTGAGAAAGGGCTGTAAGATCAGGAAAAGCACATTCAAATAATGGCCCGAACATTAGCCCCGGAGATCTGCCCGCGCTGGCTGCAGCAGCCCCAATCACGGTCGGAGTGCGGGTCCTACCGGGACCTCTGCCGCAACGCCGTGCCGGGCAGCCCGACCTCACTTTGCACGTGGTGGGGCTCGATGTTAAACATCCTGCCTGTGGTCCGGGAGGATGACCTGCCAGGGTACCGGCGACATGAATGCCGGAGCTGCAGAGCCTCTCTCTGCAAGGCTGCAGTAAATCCCCTTGGCATATTTTACCCCCTTTTTACAGCCTGCAGGAATGTCCCGAGCAGAGAGGAAGGACTGGGGCATGCTGGTTTGGAGGTGATGCCCAAAGCTCTGAGCCAGGAGATGACGGCTCTGTGCCCCGCCATCGCGCCGGGGCTCCCCCAGCCTCTCCCTGCGGCTCTGCTGTTAGCTCTCGCCACAGTCATTTATTTGTGACACCGAGCCCGGCTGTGCTAACAGCCGCCTGTGAGAAGCAACCAAGCAAATAAACTCAAAGGAGCTACAGTCCTCCTTCCGTGCAAATATCCCTCCTTAGGGAGAGGAATGCAGGGCACCTGAGCCAAATCACTTACACCCAAAGGGTTTTCAGCAGGCACCTCTGCCCTAAAATGAGCAAGGTGGGATCTTGCAGCATCCCTGAGACTTGAGAAGGGAAAGGGAGAAGGTACTTTTTACCAAGGACCCGTTGCCTTAGCAGGAGATAGGATAAACTTCCCCTCGCGCCTTCTGAGCGTTTCCAGAAGCGGGACGGATGCCCTTTCCCTCTCTGCGAGAGTGTTAAAAGAAGAAGAGATTCTAACCTGATTTTCCTCATTGCTGCTACAATAAAAAAGTGCGTGTGTGCCAGAACAGAACCACTTTCATCTTAAATTATGGGGAAGGCTTTTTCTGTCAAACATCTCAATCTTTCCGTCCCGTGGGCTTCAAGCGCTGCAGTTGCAGAGGGTGAGAATTATGCATGCTTTTGCACCAGCAAGCTGGGTCTCAAAATAAACGCAAGCAGCACCTGCTTTGCCAAATTTTTAGCTTGAGAGTAGATTTTTGAGAGCTCAATCCTGGAATCATCCAGTGGAAGGAAGCAAAGGGAGGATGCTGGGCCCCTGTGGAAACCGTGGCCAAAGCGAAGGTGAAGAGCAGCGTGGCTGCGCGGGGAGAGCAGGGCTGCAGCGTAACGTCTGCTCCTGCACGCTGGGCCAAAAAGGTCACGGGTAACAGGGACAGAGAGAAAGATGCTAAAGGTTGCATCTGCAACGCGAGCAGGGATGCAAACCTCTGTCTCCTGCATCCCACAGCATCATCTCATCTTGCTGTAGAGTCAAGCCTTGCTTTGCTTTGCCCTTTCCCCAGGGCACAGGCGGCTCCCGTGAGGAGCAGGGACTTGCAAGCACAGAGCGAAGCAAAGCTCCGTGCTGGGGCTCCTCCGGCAGCTCAGGGGACGCGGGGCCGGAGCTGGGTGCACCCCCGTGCCCAGCACAGCCCAGAGCCCTCCCGGGGCTGCACGCAGCAGCGGTGCCGCAGAAAAAGCCCAACTAACCCAATGCCAAACCGTTAACGCTTTGCCTCCAAGATTTCCTGAAAGCACTGGAAAAAATTATCATCGAAGTCTGCAAAACTCATACGGAACTGGGTGCCATCGCTTGCCTCTCCCCGCGTGAGTAAATGGAGTCAGAGCAAAGGCAAGGGGGAACATTTAAAAGCAACCAGTGGTTTTAAGCAGGTTCCTTCCTTAACGCACAGCCAGCAATAAAGCAAGTTAATCTCGTTTCTAGAGGTGCTGCAGCTTCCCCTGAGCCTGAGTGGAATCGTGTATTCCAGCATAGGGAAGAGCAAGCTCGGTGCCTCCCGCGCTGGGGACAATCCTCAAGGCAACTACATCAACGGGCACAGGAAATCTGGAGGCGATTTGCTCCGAGACAGACGGTGCCGGACAAGCAGGGGAGGGGGACAGACACTTCCAGCACTGAGCCTTTTTGCAGGGACTGGCCGAATCCGGCTCTGCCCACGTACCGCGCAGCCGTCGAGGGCGGCTCGGATGTAGGGGTTGTTGTCGTAGGACATCTCCTCGTCGTTGGAGCCCAGGAAGCGGATGGCCTTGTCGTAGCTGTCGGTGGTGGCGTCGTGCCAGGCTACGGACTGGTAGCAGTTGTACGTGATGTTCTGGTGGGCCGAAGCGCTCAGGAGCCGGAGGAAAGTCATCTGCACCACCCCGATGGGGTTCCCGTCTGAATCCACGTAGGAGAGCTGTGAGAAGCGGAGAAGGGAAAACACTGGGCAGTGAGGGGCAATGCAACACGGCTGGGGGGCTCTGAGGACCACCAGGCTCGCCCATCGCTGCTTCCCTGCGCATGGGGCTCGGTCTCACCCCCCACCGGGGTGCAGACACCGCTCCTGCCACGGGGCTGTCCCAGTCCTCCTGCGGCCAGGGCACGGCTACCGAGGGCAGTTTGTTTCTCTTGCTGGTTGTGAGCTAAAAAAAATAATCCCCAAGGCTAATGCAGGGCAGGAGGAGAAAGGACGGGAGATTTCAGCCCTGGCTGCAAAAATGTGCAGTGCTCAGCAAATTTGGGGATGTGTGTCTCAAGTTTAAGGCAATACTGAGAACACTTCTCCAGCTTTTGAAGAGGAGAAAAAGTAGATTTTTTAAGGGTTTGGGGCTTTATTTTTCTGCCATTTTGGACGTGATTTTCTGACCGTGGTGGGTATTTTGTTCTGCACACACTGGGATATTTTTCCTGGGCATCACCGTACTGGCTTTTAAGCAATCTTTGCACTTCATCTGCAGCAACCCTGTTCCTGCCGGTAAGGCCTCCGTGCTGCCCTGCTCCGCGAGGCTACGCTCAGCTGAAGGGAAAAGGATTTTGCTGCCCTTAGGGCACGTCATGAAAGACGGAGCTGCACTGCCACAGGGGTTTGCTCCGTCCTGCACATCAGGTTCCTTTTCTCCCTTGCAGGAGAACCGTGTCTAGAAATATATTTCTGCAAAAGACAATTTATTGAAACCCACTCTAGCACCCTGAGGATTCAGAGTTTTCTGGGATTTTCTCTTGTACCCCACCAAGGAAGCAAAGGGGCGGCAGGCCAGCCGGTTTGCATGGATAAACTAACTGTACTCGAGGTGGCATGTCCAGCCACGGCCAAGCCAGCAGAGCTGCTGGTCAGTGCTGTCGTCTAGAGACAGTGGGTTTCTTTAGCAACGACCAGGAGAAAAACACAGGCACGCAAACAGCGCAATGTTCTTCGAGGTACCACGAAACATCAAGCTGCGGTGCAAGCTGCAAACAGTAGAAGAGATTCATAACCAGACGATAAAATCATGAGTTTAAAAAAAAAAACAAAAAATAGTAAAAATAAATAAATATACCAACCGGTTGTCAGGATACCGTTGCACTGTCCTCCTGAGAGTTAAATATGACTGACCATGAGAGCGCCACGCATGCCAGGAGGAGAGCTACCAGAAAACCACCAGGACGTGGAAGGAGAAGGGCACAAAATGCAGCTACGTGGCACACACCCCACGACACGTGGCACCACTGATCTGCAGGACCCACTTCTCTTATATATCTTATTTCTTCTGATTTCAAATTAGTGCTTGGTTTGGGTGCCTGACTGCTTAAGGGGTCTCGGTTGCTGTTCTGCCTCTGCAGATTGCACAAAGCCCTGTCCCAGCTTTGCAACTGGAGCTACTGGGAACCGGTTGCAGGCATGAGACTTGCTCACGGGAACACGGTTTTGCAAAAATCAATCCTTTCCTGTTTTCTCTGTGACAGTATTTCCCTGCAGCAGATGCCATATGGCTGTGAAGGATAACAGGACAGGATGGGCGGCAGGCCTTGTTAGAGCTACTGAGAATTGGGTGTAACACACACAGAAGGAGAGCAGAGTCCAGAAGAAAACATCTGCAACCCTTTCATCCCTCGAAATGCAGTTTGGCTTCATCAGGAGAAATGGTAGGAAATCAGCTCCAAGTAGTCTGTCATTGATTAATGATGGTGCAGAAGCATCACACCAAGACGGTTTCTTTGTATTTCATATTTACTGGATCCCTCTCACTTTAGATATCCCCAGAAGAAAAGAAAGCATCGTCACGGCTGCACACCTTGTGCAAGCACCGAGATTCATACGGAGCCCCCCCCCGCCAGCAGCCTGCGCTCTCGATTTCCACGTGGAAATCTTCCCCTCGGCTTCAGGGATCCCACGGGCTCAGCCGCACGAGAGACAAGACCGCGCTGGGGCTGCGTGGAAAGGCACCCGGAACCTTCTCCATCGAGGGGATCTCAGACTCATTCATCCCGCCCGCCTACACACAGATTTCAAATGATCTTGGATCCAGGCAAATGTCTCCCTAATTTACCAGTCTCATAGTTCCAAATATTGACTGGGGTGAAATGAGAGGCACTTTTTTAAAAAAAAAAAAAAAAAATCAATCAAACTTTAGTTTTATGGCTTGTGTGTTTTAACAGTTTTGTGGTTTGCTTAGGCAGGTCTTCTACGTGCTGGTGGCTTTTTTCCAAACAGAAAATGCAGGACAGGTAAAAAAGCAAGAAAATGGTAACAGAGAAAGATGGAACAAAGGGCTCCAAGAAGCACTGAAATTCCGATTAAAAAAAAAAAGGGGGGGGGGCCCTAAGCTCTAGGTTGGCATTTCAGCCTCTAATGTAGCTGGTAAACAGCCAGGGGAAAAAAAAAGCAGAGCAAATGGAGAAATGGACGTACTCATAATATTAACTGATGAAGTGCTCTGTAATTAAGCTATGAGTAGTTGCCCTCCAAGGAGCGACAAGGCTGACGCCTTGGCTTTACGGCCCGGTCTGATGATGCAGAAAAGCTGCAGAAGCCATATCCTTCTTGTGGGCGAATCAGAGCAAAACGTGTTTAGTGGCGATGAAATGCGGCTTAGGAAAACAACGCGGTGCTTTTCTTTGTTGTTTGCCTTTTAAGGTGGAAGTTTGGGGCAAGAAACCTCTGCCCTGGGGAGAGGACGACTGCACGAGGCAGCTCTCAGGGCGGCATGTCAGAGCATCCCCTGCTTTCAGGGGCAGGTTTTTGGTTTTATCCACTGAATATTTCCTTCTTCCTTAATTCTCCTGATTTGACTGAGCTCATTAGCTGCATCCTGCTAATCCTACAAGAATTGATGCACACACGGGAGATTTCTGTCGCGTAAGGAGACCTGGCTTACACTAATCACTTGCTGCTCTGACATCCCTGACCAGGGCCCGGGCTCGGTGGGAGCAATCTATGGTGTTACAGGACAAAATACCAGAGCTTTTTCTCTGTTTTACGTCTTGCTTGCTTGCTGACATCCAGCATTGTTTGACGTTAGGACAGTTCTTCTCCCTTGAAAAAATCCTTAATTGCGACTAAGTCAAATTCCTGTCCACCAGGCTTGGCAAAGGCACGTGGCTCGACATCCTCCTTTAAACCAATGACTTCACATCTCCCAAGCGCCGGCGGTGGCACAGGGGTGTTGCTCACCTCCAAGCGTGGGAGACATAATCCATCCTTTGGAAAAAAAAAAAAAAGCAACCTGCCCCGGACCAGAGACGTGCAGATTCACAGCCTCAGCACCGTGCCCAGCTCCGGGGCTGGAGCATCAGGATGGGATGCTCTCGGGAAAAGGCTAGACTGCTGGGGGACAGCAGCATGCGGACACACAGTTTGCTCTTGCCGTCATGGGAATGGGAACTGCTTAGGAGACAGCGAGAGCCCTCCCGCGGGATGCAGCCCGCTGCAGTGCTCTGTGGAGACAGCCCTGCAACAGCTCCAGCTCTGCAGGGTCCCCCAGCACATCCAGCGCAGGGCAAAGCTCGGCACCTGCTCCTAGGTTTCCAGTCAAGCAGACCGGAAAAAAAGTGTCCCCATTGGGTTTTGTTTCTTTTTTCAGTATTCCACCTTAAATGTTTTTACTGCGACTTGTGATGGTTATTAGTCCAGCATGCAGAGAGCAACAGGTCCGGCCATACCAAAGCAGATGACGCGCTCTGATTCAGACTAGAGGGCCGAGGTTAGCCACTTACCAAAGACCCCCGCTTGTATTGACTATACCATGTGGAAGGCTGTTCTTTGGGCCAACGAGCCATTTTACTCTGTAAAATATGACACGGGTTAAAGAAAACAGAAAGCACCAAGATGCATCTTACCAGTTTACCGCGCTTGAATTCACTGAACCAGGAGCCTGGGTTTTCCTTTGGCCAAGAAGTAATTCTAGCCTAGTTTGTGGACGGCAAGGAGGAAAGAGAGAAAGAAGAAAGGAAAAAAAAAAAAAGAAAGAAAAAAAGTTACATTCAGTTCCACAAGCAGAGTCTGCATGTTTTATTGAAACTCTCCAATTTCCTTTAAAGTATTTTCTTAATCCCTATACGCCAGTAACAAGAGCGTTCGGCAGAGCCCCACGGTGCCAGCAGCCTCTCAGGCGGCACAGGACATCGTGGTGCCGCCCCGGGTGCCCGGTGCTGTCGTGGCACCAGCCTCCTTTGCTAAGCACTGACCATCGCTGCCTCCTACGTACTTTGGATGCAAAACTAGCAGTGCAGTCTATGGGCAGGAGAGATAAAAGGGAAGATAGAAGGGGAAAAAAAGAAAATATCAAGGGTAAAAGATGCATTCATCTTCACAGGAGGGCTAGGGTGGAAAAGCAATGCTGGTGACGGAGAAGGCTGCTGTCACTCCAGATGCTGCGGGGCTGGGAAAGGCAAAGAGTGTGATTAAGGAAAAGCCTCTGCCTGCCTCCTGCGTTTGCGCAGCAACGAGGTGCAGCACAGGCAGAGCATCCTCCGCAGTCGGTGCTGGACCATCACCCACGATGGAGCTCCAATTACCTGGAGCGACGCAGGGGAATGACCTTGACAAGAAATGAGCTGTCAGAGCATCCTTTATGGCAGCCCCGTCTAAGCAGATGAATCACTTTTTTTGAGTCAGAGCACAAGGAAGGAGCGTGGCTGCCGTCTGCTCCCTCACCCTCCCACTAGCTCCCTCACTTCTGCCGTAAATCTCTCCAAAACCAAAACCAACGGCCAAGCTATATGCGGGTGTCTTGGGATTGTCCTTTCCTTTCCAGTATGTGAACCATAAAGCGAGTCAGTGTGTTTCTGCTGTGTTAAGGATAGACTGAAAGGGGATACGGCTTAAACTCTGCTGTGCCTTACAATAAAACCACTCAGGCAATACTTTATGCCGGTCTGGTAGCTGTTTTCATTCCTCTACATGGAAAAAGGGCAGGCTGAAGCTCTTTCTTATTTATGACAGTATTGCAAAAGCGTGGCACACTTTGCATTTGAGGAGCATCGCAGTGGTCAGAAGAGCAGCTCCACAGTGGATGAGACGGGGCCAAAGAGCCGCTCGCAGAATCAGCGTGGCAGGAGTCTGAGAAGGTGTAAAATCATGGGCAGATTCCGCCTTTTTTAGCTGTCAACATTTTGAGGAGAGCCACGGCAAGTTAATGCAAAGGAGAAGAAATCCATCTCCTATTTAAACAGCCCTAACAAAAACTCAAGGAAGATTTATGTTGCATGTTATTGGTCCTGCACTGGCACATATTTCTGGTGGATGAAATTCAGCATGCAAACGGCTTCCACTGGAGTGAACAGCTTTGTCTGCACCTTATCCCAGCTGGAACACAACTGTGACACTGAGAGCTCCCCCAGGCCGCTTTGTAAGAGTTTCTGCTTGGCCAGTGCAAGAACTGGTCCCCAGGCATCAGGGACGGCAGCTCCAGAAAACAGAGTGCACGGATATGGGACAAAAACGATGAGCATGGTTGAGCTAAACACATCATTACACAAATAACTTAATCAACCTTGTGCATCGGTGCCAGGAAGAGCACTGAAGCTAGTTGCAATCATTTAGGAAACCTAATACCCACAAGAAACACCAGGAAAAAATGACAGGAGATAAAACATTTATCTGCTCTGCCTGAAGACACAGTAAGAGTAGAGGAATCAGCGGTGCTTATGCACGCAGACAGCGGAGCGGCAGCCCGGCTGCAGGAGGGAAGACAAGGAACGAGTTAAACGAAGCTCACGGGGAGCCGCAGTTCCTGCACCGACACCCGCTTCTGCCTTTGTAAAGCAAAGTAAAAAAAAAATTAAGGTTTTCGCATTTATTATGCCTGGGAAATCATCAAAGACGTGTCCCAAATCACAGTTTAAATCTGACTTACTCAAAGAAATTCTCTTTGTAAACATATTCCTTATTATTTTAGAAGCCAACCTTGTATAACAAAGAAACGTTCTGGATCTTTAATCCTTACTCGCTATTGTTCAACTCTCCCAAAATTGACTGTCTATGAATATTCATATTAGGAAACAATCTCTTATCACCATGATATGGGGGGGGGAGGAAATAAAAAAGTTGTGTGGACTTACTCCTTCAGATTTCTTATCAGGGAAGATGCAAGTCTCTCCACCGGCTGTGAAATTACAGTAAACTTTGAAAGAGTCCCTGGAACATCCTTGGTTAGGATCAACCCAGTATTCACCTGGATGCACGAGAGGGAAGAGAAGGGAAGAACGAGTCGGCACGGTGAGGGCAGGACGACAGGCACTTCAGCAACCATCCTACCAGTTGGTTGGTAGGATGCCATCCTACCAGTTGCCTCGCACTTCAGCAACCAGCATCCTGCCAGGGATGCTTCATCTCGGTCATAGGCTACTATTTATATGTATTTTTTTTAAAACTGGTTATGTTCTGATCTCAGATTAGACCTTACAGGAATCGTTATTTTGCATTGTATATCCCCACTCTTCTCTACACACCGCTGCTTTGTCGGCCACATGGGGCACCAGGGCCAGGCACTCCCCAAATTTACTTCTCTTCCTGCGCTCGCTTGTACGCACTGCAGGGAGGCAGGGAACCCACAGCGCTTTCCCCGCACCCCCTCTGTCCCGGGACACACCGTCTGGGAAGTCGGGGTGACAGAGCTGCAGATCCTTGCAGGTCCGCGCTGGGTTATGTTGAGTGCCCAATGGATGCTTCATTTGCTCGATTTCCAGTTTCAAGGAATTCAGTGAGCCGAAAATTTCCTCCATGCCATCTGCATAGTCCATGTAGTTGTCGGCATTTCCATCGTCCACCAGCTGGCTGGCGTCAATGTTTCGCCTGGTCCTCTTGGAAGACTGGATGGGCAGCGGCTGGATGACTTCTCCAGGAGGCCCCTGTTTTGTGGGGAGAGGAGATAAACCTTCTCATTGCATTGCTGGTGGGGAAGAGACAGAAGACACGGCCAAAGCAGGCACCAGCGCTGAGAAGCACCATCTAGACATGTAAAACACCCGTGACGGTACTGATGAAAACCACCAGCCTTGAACACTGGCTCCATCTTCTCTCGCCATCTTCCCATTAGTAACTCCCCCCTTCACATCCTGCTTTCTTCCCCAGCACCGATAAGAGATGCCGATCCGTTGCTAGGACTCCTGATATGCTGAATCTCCGTCCAGAAATCTGCTCCCTAACATTGCAACACCCATTAAATCTGGACCTCATTTCACACTTCATGTAAGGGGTTCTACTTACAGGAGGCCCTGGGGGCCCAGGAAGACCCGATTCACCCTTTGGACCTGTTGGACCCTGGATGAAAAAACAAGGGAAAAACACATGAGTCACTCAGGAAAAAGCACTTGTCAATTATATCACGTCCCAAACGTTATTCAATAGTCTTGTGGCAAAAAATTTCCTCCTCTCCCTTCAAGCACATAAGAGGAGTCTCCTTGCCCTCCCTCCAAGAAAAAGTCTGTTTTGGTTATTTTTGATGGTTAGGTAAGAGAAAAAGATCAAACACTTGGGGTTAAAGAGTCAAATTTTGCTTAAGCTTCCTATGGAAAAGGAAGCATCTTCCAATGCGTGAAAACATTAACTCTCCAAATCAATTCGACAGTTTTATAAATCAAATAAAATCTTAAAATCAATAAAACATTGAATTCTGCATGGGAAAAAGACTTTAGGAAGTTGCCCAAGAGGAATTTTTAGCTGCCTGCATAGGAGATCTGTAACATGAAGCTTGCTTCAGTGTCGCATTTCTCACTACGTTCTTCACTTTTCAGCTTGCCACCTCCCGCTTCGCAGTCTATTTTTAATACCCTCCGCTTTACAGCAGTAGGTTTTCTCCTAAGGACGATGCACTGGATTCCTCCTTATGATCTTTGCTGACCTGATGTTCAATAAAGTACAGTGTGTGCAACAGAAACCTTTCCCAATTATAATTTTTGGGCTTAGACAGCCTGAAAAGGCTGCGTTTGCTACAGCCATCTTTGGCTAATTGCCTTAACGTCACTGATGCGGGTGAGTCGCAGCAGGTTATGCACTTAATAAGAGCTCCTCAGCCTCTTCGTTTAACAATGTCTATACTCACTGATGATCCTTTAGCACCTTTGGGACCAGGTGGACCCTGTATAGAGAAAAAATACAGAAAAGAGTCGGTACGTTTCCTAGCAGAGAAGTCAGTCTCTCCTTAGAGAGAGACAGAGTAGTGTTACACAAGGTAGGTTTTCTTTAAAATTCACTTCCTTTCTGTTTCCACTTTTCACGTCCACTTGAGTTCAGCGTTGCTTTTATTTGCCAACATACAAAAAGCATTTGTGTCAGACCAATCTGTGTCAGTGCCCCACACTCCTGCCCAGGTGGGGACTGGAAAAGCTGCTGTGTGATTACCGGAACCCGGGGCTGATCCGAAAGACGTGCTAAGGACACCCAGCAAGAGCAAATGCTGCTTGCCCAAGGGTGCAGGCTTTGGGCATCCAGTGAAAAAACCGCAAATAGCAAAAAAATACAAAAAAAATTACCATGTGATTGCAGATAATCCAAAAGAAACAAGGTGGGCTAATTTCCCTGCCTCGATCACGCTGCGTCCCCTGTGCCCATCTCTCAGCTCACGCGTCACCCCCCAGTACTCCTGTAACTCATTCCAGTGTTTTTCATGGGCTCAGCTGGGCAAACCCATTCCCATCAGCATCCTCATACAGGGTCAGGCCAGAGGGACTGTGCCGGGTACATCTGGGAGCACCAACGTGACTCCAGAGGGACCGCGTAGCTCCCAAGGAATTCAAAGATAATTATTTGTCACATACCGGTAATCCTGGTGGCCCTGGAGGTCCAATTGGTCCAGAAGGACCTGTGATACCCTGGAAAATAAAAGCAGAACAACATTGATTTTCATGCAGCAATGCTGGCCTGTAACTACACAACCAACATCTGCTCACAGACGACCACCCGGTTTTGGAGGATTCCATTCAAATCTGGAGCTTTAACTGGTCTATAAGCATGTGCATGATCCAGACAAGAGCACGACCAGGGAATCTCATAACTCAGGCACACAGTTTTGAAAATCAGTCCTCTAGATGCATATTTAATGTCACCATCCCTCCAAGTCTATTTAACTCTTTTCATATGACTCTTGGGAATCTGCTTTCCACTAAAACAGGTAATTTTGGAGCATCTCTACGTTTCGCATGTAGAACAAACTACATTAATACAGAAAATATTCCTCAAAAATTAGCGAGAGTCTCCTGCCACCTCTGCTATGCCGTACCTGCTCACGGGCAGCAAACCCCGCAGCTCAAAAGCACAATTCCACAAAGGTCTTATGGAATGTTTACCTGCTCTCCTTTGGGTCCTGCCGAGCCCTGGGGGCCTGGGAGACCTCTGTCACCCTTTTCTCCCTGCTCTCCCGGAGGTCCAATAAGACCAATTAAACCTGGATGACCCTAGGGAAAAACAGCAGATGTTAATTATGATCTCTCGCCGGAGGTAAATGAACGCCAAAGCTACCCAGCAAAGACATTTCTAGATACAAGCCCAAATATCTAAGGCGATGGGAGTTCGTAGCTATCCCTGACACCTGGAAGTGGCAGAGCAGAGCAAAGCACTGGCTTTTTGCAACAGAAAATGCTACAAATGTAGAAGCAGAACTGCTGCACTGGAGCGCCTGCTCATTTCGGGTGCTAACATATATTGCATAAATTTCTACAGGACTGAGAATCCCGCCCTAAAGCAAGCCGGGTGTCTGCACCTCCCTGTGTTACAGCGTCTCCGTTCAGGCAGCCCCGACAACTCGAGCTGCCGCGGATTGCGCGGGCCAGCGTAAGGCAACGCGGAGATTCAGCTCCTCCGTCTCGCCTCGCTGCCATCGGTGCTGGTGACACGGGGATGGGAAACCCAGTCTTGGATCCAGATGGGCCCCGACACACGCTCACCCACAGCACGACCCGGCTCATCCCGTGGGGCACACTCACTTTAAAGGTATGTCTGATGCTTCCAGAGTATGAGAGAGAGAACACGGGGCTGGTGGCACTCCTCAGCCTTGTGGTGCCAGCTGCAGCACCCCTCTACAATGACATTCTTCCCCCCACACCCAGACACGGACATCAGCTCACGCAGCGAGACCACGCGCAGCATTCTCACCTTCTCCCCTTTAGGACCAGAGTCTCCTTTAAGACCAGGCAAACCCGGTGGGCCCTGTGTGAGACGGGAAAGACAAAAAAGAGAATGAGTTAATGTAAAATGCATTCACCCATTTCAATAAGTCATCGAATTTGACGGTCTTGACATACCATTGGGCCTGGAGGACCGTCCGGGCCAGGGGATCCCGGGAGACCTTGTTCACCCTGTAAAACAGTGCAATTCCCTCAAACCCGTCCTTCATGCCAGCAGTGCTCCCAGCTGGGATTACTCAGATTATTCACCCGTCCTCATGTGGTCCCTGTGCCAGGGAACGTTTGCCCTGGCTTCTCACAGGTGGGTAACGGCAAAAGGATTTCTGTTCCTTTCACGCTCAAATCTCTACTGGAAAAGGGACTTTGGAGCTCATGGAAACATTACCCCAGAGAGTGGGTGAGCAGACCCAAATAAAACATGCTGGGAGATGTTATTCATCGTTATATTGTTCCCACTAAAAGTGTCAGGCATTTAAGCACAGACCGAACGTTACGCCGGGAGAAAGGCACCTTCCCAGGCAGATGCGTTATGGTAAAGCCCCAGGGACAACCCTGCCCAGAAGCTTTCTCGGACTTTGCTCAGTTTGGGAATACTCACAACTGGACCAGGAATTCCTCGAAGGCCGTCAGGGCCAGGCTTCCCTGGAGCACCTTGGGGACCAATTGGGCCAGTCTTCCCAGGAGGTCCTTCCAAACCAGCTTCACCCTGGATGCAAGAGGCAGCATGGTTTAATTTGCATTGGGGTATCAAACGATCTTCTCAAATACGCTGTGGCTGCTGCCAGGATGTCACAGAGCGGATGCAATTCCATGCAAAGCATGTAAAACTTCTGTTCTCATCTTCCTACTGCTCCATACCCCTTACACGCTGAGGACGAGTCTCCAAACTCCTTCACTTTTCAGCCTTGCCTATTTCTGCTGATTTCCAGCAGGAACAACCCTTTGGCTGCGAGCTCTCCGGAGCAGGAAGCTTTCCTGAGTTCAGACCCAGGAGATGAACTAGCAGAGGACATCCTCCGCCATCAGCGTTCCTGCGGCTGCCGCAGCAATTAGACCTACAAATTGCCATCGCACTCTACATTTCCCCACCACCCGTACCGAAATAATCGTGGTCCAATAACGCTGCGTTTGCCCTGGGAAAGGATGCAGGGCTGTGCGTGCTGTATCATTTACAACATATCAAATTGCCAAATATGGCACTTTGTCATTTCAAAACAAGAAAAACATTCCCATGACCTTACCAAGCTCTAATTATCTCCACAGAGTTTGTTAAAAGATGAAATATAAGCTCAGACCTGAAGCCAACGGCCCCAAATTCAGGCTAATTTGTTGTAATACACAGCAAAAATCAAATCACCGTCTGTCAAACACCAGCGTTGTCAGAGGGTGTTCCTTTCGGCATAAAAAGGACACAGTAGAAGCGCAATCCCTTTCAGCTCTTACCTTGGCTCCTTTCTCTCCTTGCCTTCCTTCGGGACCGGCTGGACCAGGAGGGCCCTAGAGAAAGCACAAAATAGATGCAAAACACAATTAGATCACGCTGATCTGGAATGGCCTATTGGAATTAGCAAAATTGCTACAGCCCCAGGGAAGACGACAAAATGGAGACAAATATCTCTGAAAAGCCTTTTAAATTAGCTTCTTGCTAAATGAATCCCCAGGCTCTGCCAGCAAGGCAGGAAGAGTAGGAGCACCTCATGCTTGTATTTTCTTTTGGGCGTTAAAATCTCAAAAAAATTCCATGGGATTTGGTTGACAATTTCCCAGCAATTTCCAATTTGTGTGAATGGCGCATCGATTTTATTGTTATTGTTACTTATTTTACACGCTAGTGCCTTGCATTTAGACCTAGGAATAACATTTGTTTCGAAAAATCAATACAAATACATTTGGAGAAATACTCCCAAACAATCAGCTTACCCTTTTTCCTGGGGGTCCGGAGGGGCCAGGCTCTCCCGTGGGACCAGGGGAACCCTAGATGGAAAGGGGAGGAGAACAAGCCATAACTGCACCACGAGAGGCGGAAGGGACGAGCAAACGTGTAAAACTCGAGTCGAGATCTGGAGTTTGTGCTAAGCTGAGGCGTGGGCGGCCAGTACAACTCCCGACACCTCCTCGGGGGTGCAGGTGGTATCTTGTTTTATCCCTTCCCACCATGAAATACCATAAGGCACAGCAAAGTTAAAATGAAAGACTTAGAATTTGTTTTTCCGTAAGTTAATTTTTGCTTTCAGGATGTCTTGCTAAGCAGCCCGGACGGATGGCGGCAGCCAGGCTGACACAGACAGGACTGGACAGGCACCAGGGGACCAGTGGAGCAGAAGCTGGTGGGAATCAGATGCTGTATGTCCTTCCGTGTTAAAAGTCCTCAGACCTGCCCACAGAAACCGTGAGGACTGATGGGGAACAGATCTCATCTATCCAGTTACTCACAGTCTGTCCAGGTTCGCCATCATCACCTTTGTCACCAGGGGGACCATCTTGACCCTAAAAAGGAAGAAGAAAGAAACAAGCAGGAGCATTTAGGGTACACATAGAGTTGAGCGGAGCGTTAGCAGCAGCAGGCGGGGCTCAGCTTCGTGTCACCGGGTACCATCCCTTCCCATCTCCTGTTGGGAACACTGGCAACAGCAACCCTTCTGCGTCAAATACACAGGAGCTGTGGATAGCAACATTCGTATGGCTACCGCCCCAAAGGTTGTTAGCACGGTCAAACGGTCATGGTGGGACTTCCTACTCTATCCCAAGTAAAGGAAGAGTAAATGCCAGAGGAGCTGCTGGTGAGTGAACAGCACACAGTCATATTTCACAAAACCAAGAAGAACAACCTCACTGCCCTTCTGTGAGACAAACACTTACAGCTGGACCAGGTTCTCCAGGAGGACCAGGGTCACCAGGGAAACCAACCGGACCCTGTAAAGAGAGGAGGAGGAGATCCCCAAGTCAAAGGTATTGCATCTGGAGAACTGCAGAGCACTAGTACCTGTTACCCCAGCAACAACATGGGGAGTCACCCCACGGAGTAAAACCCCAGTTCCCTCAGGCACAATCCCAGATCACACCCCATCTTTGGTAATTCCATCCTGTCACAGCCACCAGTTCAGCTCTGCATCCAGACTACACAGAGCTCCAGTGTCAACGCTGGGACTTTCATCTAGTTTTTCATAAATACATCAGACAAGTGACAGCGAAATCCTCGCAGCTTTGGGGAACGTGCAGATTAGAAGATTTTGCTTTTGCTTACTACATGATGTGTAACATTTTCCACGTGAATATCCTCTCAAAGCATTTAACGACTAAAACACTTCACCATTCTTCTCCATACAATGTCTATTGTGCACTTCAAATGATTCTGAGACCAGCGTTCAGACAATAGGCTTCAATCAATAAAGCGATATCCCAAAAACCCATCTGTTAAGAGAGATGACTAACTCCCCTGCCTCCTCTGCTGTTTCATGCCATCTTTGCTTATCACGTAACAAATTTCTTCAGCCAGCAAGCATCAAAGAAGCCGGCAAGATAAATACTGTACCATTGTCATCTGGTGTAAATCAGTATAGCTCTACTGGCTTCAATAGAGCTACAGCAATTAGCATCAGCAGGGATCTGACCCTAGAGGTGCAGCTCCTAAATTCGCATAAATCTCCTCTACGCTGTTCTGGAAGCTTCGCTCCGGTGCAGAGGACCTTGGCAATGCATAAGCTCAAGCACAGAGTAAACCTACTGCAGGTCATCTCCGTAGGGGTGAGTTTTCTGATAGCCTGCAGAGAGGACTAATAATTCAAGTACTGCTGGAAGATATGGTACAGCTGGGTCTTTTCCTCATTAGCACCCCAAAGAAGGGGACTTACACCCCGTAACATTAGAGGAGCAATTCTCTGGCTAGTAAACTATTTCAAATTTCCACAAAAATCTCTGGAAAACATTTTTTCATGCAGAAATCTCTGCTGGGCAAGACAAGGAAGCACTGCTTGGGCAGGAGGAGGAACTTACAGGACTGCCTTTGGGACCATCGTCCCCTGGGGGACCTTTGGGACCAGGTGGACCAGCAGCACCAGAGGGACCTGCTTCACCTTTTTCACCTCTTTCACCTTTAGGACCCTGTAAAGGAAAAAGGGTGTTTCTGTTATCCAGAAAAACAACTTACTGATCTCTAATTAGCCTTTAATCAATTCTGAGAAAGAAGCTCTATTTGTATCTCAAACCAGGAGGACATGATTTAGCAGTCCCTTCCCACCAAGATTAAATGGTGTTCGTGTTGTTCAGTCATGGGCAGCCCATATTCGGTGACTAAGCGTTAGTTATACTATAAATACCCAGTAACACGGTGATGTGTCGCCCGATACCCAAACCACGGACATGGCTGGTTCAGTCCCTGCAGCCCCATCCACATCCATGACTCTGACCCCCCTTCAACCAGCTCCTCAGGGAAGACCACTGAAGAAAACCTCTTCTCCATCACAGCAAGAGCCACCCTGTTAGCATACTTACGGGGAGGCCAACTTCACCAGGAAGACCAGGCTCACCAGATTCACCAGGTTCACCCTGCAGAGTGGAAAAGATGATGAGCACACTTCTATTTCTGCAGGGTGTCGAGTTTGCTGCTCATGTGGCAAAGCTCCTGCGTGAGTTTTGTTGCAGCAAACTCCTGAAGGCTTCCATCAGGTTTGTCTGGATGCTTTACCTTCTCTCCTACTGCACCAGGATTTCCTATTCCCCCGGGAGGTCCTTGTGGACCATCTGCTCCTGGTGGTCCAGATGGACCTCTGGGTCCAGGTGGGCCTGGTGGGCCCTGAGAGAGAGGAGACACAAATTTAAGACATGATTCTTGGAGCAATGTCTATGTCAGTGATGAAAAAAGAAGTATGAAAGCATCTTACCATTTGCCCAACGTCACCCGTTTCTCCCTTCTCACCAGGTGGTCCTGGCAAGCCCTGTGGAGGTGGAAGGGAAGAGTTTTAGCTGTGAACATCCCAGGTGGAGCCCCAGCTCTCCTTACCCTAAGCCCTCTCCTTGATGCTACAAATTACCTGCAAGCCCACTGGACCGGGGGGACCAGGGAAACCTCGGGGTCCTTCATCACCTTTCTGACCAAAGAGGCCTTGCTGTCCCCTGGGACCTGGCTCTCCATCAGCACCCTGTGAGGAAAGGGTCCAACACAGCTCGGCAAAGACACAAGGCAGATGCAAAGCTCCATCCCCACCACCTCCTGCCACAGCCAGCAGCAACGCCCTACTCATGCGTTGGGCATCAGCAGCGCCAGGCAGAAACTGCCCATCTTTGCAGGGCTGCCCAGGACAGTTTATGGCAGGAAAGAGGATTTCTGCCCACGGGGAACAATACTCACGGCTGGGCCAGGCTGACCGATTGGACCCTGCGGGCCAGTAGGACCTGGTGGACCCTGTCACAAAACAGAAGTGCAACGTCACCATTAGGATCACAGAGTAAAAAAACTCACCTGGAAAAGGTGATGCCCTTCAATACAGCCTCCATTAAACACATGTTAACTCCCAAAACAGAGAGGGAGGACAGGGTCGAGTCTCCCCAGACACAAGCATCCCTCAGCCCTGGTGCCAATGGCACAGCGGACACGTCTAAACGTGTTTTTGCTCCAGCAAAGCAACACCACATCGCTCAGTTCTCTCTAAATACTTATGAGCGACTCATTTTCCATTCCTCAGGCTCTGAGCAGCACATAAAGGGTGCTTCAGCGTGCTATAAGCAACTAGAAAAGGAACTACAGCCAAACACCCAACTTTAAGGCAAGGGCTCCTAATGTTTCACAGATATTTACATAGCACACGGGTGACATGGAGACATCTCAGTGTGCTCCTCGGAGCTGGAGGAGAAACGCACTTCAGGCACTCGCTCTTTTTTATGTCGTGTGAGTATTTGATGAAGCAAAGGAGAAGATGAAGCAATGGCAGGAAGAGATTAAAATGGTATCATTTTCCATTTCCAGCAAGTCACACAAGATAACCACACTCCTCCAGGGAAGCAGCTACGACAATGTCCACCCCACTCACCTGCTCCCCTTTGTCGCCCTTGCTGCCCTTCTGGCCAGGCTCCCCGATCTCGCCCTGCCAGGAACAAAGAGGCACAATCAGTTCACTCGGTGACCGCTTCCACATCTCAACGTTCAAGCAACGGTCCTGCGTGTCTGCACCCTCATCCCAAAGATGCCAGTTCCCACAGAAATACCCCACTGAGTTTCGGAAAAGGCCAGAGATTTGGCAGCCCCAGCTGTAACCAAACCCTTTTGCATCCTAAAACTTTCCTGAGCTGCCACGCGACGCAAGAAGCATCGTTTTGCAGACCTCGTTAGCAGCAATGAGTGATTTGTCCCCAGCTAATGTTTTCTAAGAATCCTCCAGTCCAGAGAGGCTTAATGAGAGAGTGGGGAAAGGTAATTAATTTGGAAAGGCCACCTGCTACGGGCTTTGGGGGAGGCTAACCGCATTTCAGCGAGCGGTTTGGCTGGGAGAACACACGCAGCCCGTTCTGCCGCTGCTCCCCAGATCGGACGCTGCTCGTCTCGCGGGATTGCCAGCGCCACGGAAACATCCTTGTGTTACGACCCCAGCACACCCGTCCCGACGCGGTCAGCGCGGTGGCAATGGGGCACGTTGCCCAGGTCCTTCCCGGAGTGACCCTGCGCAGCAGGGAGCTGCTCCCACCTTGTCTCCATCCTCTCCGGGGGGGCCAACAGGACCTGCTGGACCCGGGAGTCCCACCGGGCCCTGGATGCCGTCCCGGCCAGCCGGCCCTTGAGGACCCTTCTCGCCCTGGAAGCAGAAGGAGCAGGCAGGTCACGCAGAGCTCTTCTCCTCCCTCCCATCAACCCAGTACATCCCATTAATGTTTTATTCAGCTGCTAATGACCCCTGACTACGTGGGCGTGTACAGCAAAACCAGTTTCCAGCTGTGTGACCAGGCTCCCTGTGCTTGCTGTCTGAAACAAGACAAAATTTCTGTCTCGAGAGATAAGGAACAAACAAATCTAAACAGTGAATACCCAGATCACAGCTGCAATTTCACCGCTATAGCAATATAATCAGATTTAATCTGCACCCTCTGCCATCTCTCTGTGGATGACAAACAAGACCTCAACTAATTTTTATTCCCACAAGCCAATTTTTACAGATTTTGGTCCTGGCTGTCCCAGCACTCAGTGCCTGCTCCCTCCCTGGCTGATCCCCAACTAATGGGGGTTTCTCAGGAGGCCCCAGGCTCCCTCCTGAGCTTCTGGACAAAGGAAAACACGGGAAGTGAATAAAGCAATCTCTGCTGGCCTCCTGCTTAAACATCTACTTGTATTCCTCAGACCTGGAGCCTTCCATCAAATTTGTTTGTTTACAGGAACTGAACAGTGGATATTTTTCAGTTTCCTTGTGCATAATTTAATTGCATCTGAATCCTGGGTGCTCTCTTCTGAATAATTAGATGCCGCATAAATGGCCTATTCATCTGTCCAGCCATACATCATATAGGTACTTGGCAGGACAGATGTTCATAAAGCTGATTCACCAGGAAATTCTTGCCTCTGGACTAGCTGCTGGAGTTTCTAATAAGCCAGCAAATGTGGAATACAGTGGCCGATAAACACTTTTGATAACAACAATCAATCACCGTAAGTGTCCTCAGCTAGTCTGAAATCACTGATACCATTTGCTCCTTTTGCTGGGTCTGAAGCTGAGCTTAAGTTTGAGGCAGGCAACCCAAAAGTCCCTGCAAAACCATTTGGGAGCGAGTTAGAGACACAGCCTTCCTTCTCGGGACCGTGACGGTGCTCTGCTCTTTGGAGACAGAAATAGTCATCCCAGCCCACTCTCTCCTGCCCGCACGTGACATTTCACGCGTGTGCCTGGGGAGCGAAAGACGTGAGAGCTTGCGCGGGCTGGCTGGTGGAGAGGGACCATATGGCAGGACTCAGCCGTGCTCTGCTGGGGCTCGTGCTGAGAACAGCTCTTTCCACGGGCGCCAGCGGGACGGCAGGGAACACGGATGCTGCGGCAGCATGCAGCATCCCGGGAAGCAGAGCCGAAACCTCCGCAGCACCTTCCTGTGCTGCCTCTTGGCCGGGGCAGCGAAGGGGTAAGGATCTATTCAGGCTCAGTGGATATCACCACTGCCAGTGCATCCCTGCAAGCGGTGACGGGGTTGGCTCACTCCTCTGCCCAGAGGCCAGTCCTGTGGCTGTTTGTCACCAGGAGGTCACACAGGCTGTCATTTTACCTGTGCAGTCCTCATCCCTTCTCGTTGCCTGAAGACATTTCGGTCCCTGGGATCACATGCATTTTTGATAGCCCGTGCGTCCCGAACAGGGCTGTTGAGCAGCTAACGTCCAGTGGTTTGATGCGCCCAAGGTGAGAAAATTCCTTCCTAATTGAATTCCTTCCTTTTTTTTTTTTTTTTTCCTTAAATCTTTTATATGCCTGCCCCAGGGAACGTCTCCATGCTCAGCTTCCTACTACACACATTTCAATTTGACCCACAGCTGTCAATCTTTATACCGGTACTTACTGGAGCTCCCTTTTCACCTGCGGGTCCCGGAGGTCCCTGGGGGCCAGGTCGCCCTGGCAAGCCTATCGGGCCAGCTGATCCCGCGGGACCGCGCTCACCAGGAGAGCCCTGTTGAAGAAGGAAGCATTAACTGGAGTATCAAGCTTTATCTCTATACAGACAGAAAGAAATCCAGCAGTAGGATGCTGCAAAAGCATTGTAAGTGAGTGCATTTGATGGGCGACTGCCATGTGATGACTTGGTGCCGTCAGCCCAAGGGATGCTGCAGATCTTTTTTTAATTAAAATCCCTGGGAAGGCTGGGTTCTCCTCTGGATGGTGCAGGGAGCTCTGTTCTTGGGGGCACATCACCAGCCTGGAACAGGAGCACGAGCCACTTCATGGCCAATGCAGCAGGGAGGGTTGGATGATGAATATTTTCTTCCAGAAGGACTGCACTGAGCACGAATCTCGAGTGGGGACAACTTTCAGAGGGAAAGCTGGTGACTTAGGAGCAAAATTCTCAATGTCCTGAATCATCCCTGTTCCCTCAGCTTGTCACGTATGTTCATAAGCTGACACCACAAAACGACTGAGCTATTACATGCTTGTCTTGTAAAATAAAGCAATATCCAGCAAGTCGTTAGTTAGCGCAAAGGGAATAACAGCTAAAGCACTGAGCTGTGACTAACCCTCCGGTTTGGCTTGCCAAGCTTGTAAACGTGTTAGGTGGTGCCTGTAAGGGCAAGGATACTCACTGCTGGACCTGGGGGGCCTGGGGGACCTTCGTTGCCTTTCAGCCCTGGAGCACCCTGGAGGGAGAAAACCAAAGTAATTTTGGGAGCTGGGTGCTGCACCGCCTGGGCACCCTTCCCACCGGCAGGACGGGCGGCCTCTACTCACAATGGGGCCAGGGAGACCTCTCTCTCCGGGGAAGCCTCGCAAGCCCGGGGGACCGTCCTTCCCTGGGAGGCCAGCGGGACCAGGGTCCCCCTGCAACGACAGCGATAAACAGCTGAGGATCTGCAGAGTCCATAGAGACCCAGCTCCTCCCTCTGGGCTCAAGTCGTGATGAGATGCTGCAAAACATCACGTCTTTTCTGAATCATCCCTCTCCATCTCTGGGAGAGAGGCAGGCGTCCAGACTTGCAAGGAGAGTGAATTCAGCAGGCTGCTGGTCCCTACCTTGGTCCCTTCTTTTCCAGTGAGGCCAGGAAGACCTTGTTCACCTGGGGGACCTGGAGGACCTGGATGTCCCCGCTCACCCATTGGCCCAGTCTCACCAGTCGGACCCTGAAGAAAGAGAGATCAGGGAGAAGGTGGTGGGTATCCGCAGAGCAAAGAATGAAGGAAGAGGTTCAGGCTATCGGTTTGTTCCTTTAGGTTGCAATGGGATGGAAGATGCTCCTTCCCTTAGCTGCCCCCTGCAGTGCCACCAGGAATCCCTGCAGAGATGTTTCCTTTGGCACCTAAAGGGACCTTGTTTCAGAAGGGGCAACATTGCACTTGACAGACTAGAAGCATTGGGATCCTCTGGAAGGAAAGCGTTCACATAAATGAGATATTATTACTACAATTATTATGCTTAAGGGTTTTTTTCAATTGAAAACTTCCTAAGTACTCTACAATCGTGCTGATTCTTCTTCATATGGGGCATAAATAATGGATTAGGCTTGTACTACATGCAATTACCGACTGCCTCTGTGCCGTACACGGGCACTAATGGTGACGAACCTTCTGCCTGGTGCAGAAGGTTCCCCAGTGGCCCATTGTGGAGGAGGACAAAAGCCATAGGCACAAGACTATAACGTCCCTGCACGTTGGTGTCCGCTGGGATGGTGGTTGTAATTCACGTCACGCTGCAGGGTGCCACTTAGCGTAAGCAGAATGATAACACTGCGAGCGCTGGGCAACCACAGATCACACTAACTATGCACAGCAGAGCCAAACACAATTGCCATAGAACCTAATTTGCACTTGAGAAGACAGACACAGTCAGGGAATTGCCCCTAATCCGGGAATTTACAAATCAGGGACTTTACACTATCATTAAAGAGGACAAATTAATTACCTGATAATTAAAGAGCAACTTCCCCAACAGTTCAGGAGGTTCAGCCCAAAGCCAGTCCTACTCAGCCTAGGACTCTGCCTATAAAACTGATGCACAAGCCTTGCACGCCCTTGCACAAGGGGTACAAATTCTGGTTGCGCAGTTACTATTTCCAGATTGCACAGAGCTCATTGTGACTAAAGGAAAAACAGGGCAACTCTGACAGAATCTAGCAGCACTTTATACTAAAGAGGGATGCATTTCTTCATAACAACGTGTAAGAGCACTCTTGCATCACACTTACACTGCCCTGAACACCCCAGAAACTGTACAACCCTTTGAGATTATGTTTAATTCTCTGGTTGCTTAAGGTCTTCTAGTCAGGTTGTGTGTAGCTGGTCTCTCTCTCACCCTACACCAATTTTACACCAAGGCAGTTGTGATGAGTTCAGAGGAGCCGCCTTATTTACAGCAGCCTTCAGCCACGTCTGTTTAAATACCATCCTAATGCCTCGACGAGGTGGGCTGGGACCTGTCGGGGTGTTTCCAACCCTGGCCAGGAATTCCAAAGCCATCAAGCTTGCTTTGACATGACTTTGCCTCCCCTGGAAGAGGAGGCTCCGTGCTGGGTAACCGGTGGTCCCAGCAGCTCCAGCTGAACCATCAGAGCTGCGGGAACCGGCTGTGCCGTACCACTGAAGACGAGGGCTGGTGCAAGCACGGGCATCTGCTGCTTACCTGAGGGCCTACGACACCGGGGGGTCCTGGAGGGCCGGTCTTGCCTTGGAAACCCTGTTAGAGAAGGGAAAAGAGAAGGAGATGACAGTTCTGCCACAGAGCGCTCCAGCGAGGGTCACAGGTTGCTGCTCCTCTGGTGAAGCTACCAAACGGGAACGGGTGGACACCCGAAGGGAAAAGAAACAAGAACTCAAACAGAAGGTGGAAAATGTGTATTTGTACATTTATACAGAGACAAAGCAGAGGAAGGAAAAGGGATTCTCAAAGCTCAGCTCTGCTGTTTTGATGGAGCTACTGTGGTTTGGCTGAAGGACTGGCCATATATACATATATAAAAAAATCTGCTATGCTCACAAAACCTATAGAGGAAATTGCTATTAAGAAGTCAGAATGTGCGAGTTTCTTCATGCTGAGTAATTCTTAATAAGCATTTCCCTTCTCCTGCTCCCCGTTCTGGTACTGGTTTAGGCTCAGCTCTGTTTTAGGCTTAGCTCCCAGGTCGGAGGCTGGGTGACCGTCTTCCACTTTCGGCACGGGCAGCGCCAATCTCCAGCCCTGCTAAAGCCCCAAACCCACCAGGCTCGGGGGCTGAGCCGAGCTTTATTTCCTTCATCAACATCTGCTGAAAGAAATCACAATGTGTTTCTCTCCAAAAGCTGATGAGTAGCGAAGTCTCCGTGACAGCTACTTGTAATGACATTTGAAGAGTGACAATAATGAACTATCACCACTGCCATTGTTTAGCTCTCCTAAGCCACTCTTTAAAAAGCACATTAATTATCATTCTCACTATAGCATGCTGACAAGCTTGAGAAATGTCATTTAGGGCATACAGGCTATTTTCTCATTGCCACAAAAGACGATCAGATAAATCCCAAGCCAACGGTAATGTGTCACGCTAAAAAAACTACTCAATGCTATTCTATAGCTGTCTGCGGATCCCAGAAAATATCCTGTCATTGATGGGGAAATGGCAGAACATCTCTGTGAAATGAATGTATAATTTAAACTCTTATTGTAGAAAAAATATTTCAGCCAGTTCTGTGCAGGACTTTTTTATTGATCTGAAGAAAGGGGTTTCCTTTTATCCTGTATGAGCCTTGAGCACAGAGTTTTTTTGGTTTTTTTTTTAGATTCAATCTTTGTAAATCCAATATGGCCAAATATTTCGGCATCCTTCAGTGTGCCTATCTGCTACTAAATGAAAAGTCCAATAAAGGGAACTATTTGACAGACAGATTTCAAGTCTAGGTTTAATCTTGCGCGAAGGTGCAGAGTGCGCTGACAAGGCTACTGATGTGGAAATAATAGTTAATTTGGTTTTGTTTCTCTCCTCGCTTTTTGGCACTGCGTAAGGAAAGGGGGACCAAAAAGGGACTTCTGCTAGCTGGGTCTGCACAGGTCTGCGTGCACCCCAAGAGGATTCAGGGGAAAGTGAACTTTGCAAGCTTGTTCAGGGCGCAGATTAAGAGATTTTTGGTTTTCTGGAAGGATTTGCCTGTGAGAGGTAAGCTACTGCTGCGGTGAGTGAAGAAAGCTTTTAGGGAGTACTTTCAGACCCAAAATAACTGAAAGCCCGTTCTCCATTCATATTCATGCAGACTTGGAGTTTGACGCTTTATTCCAAGTTGGTAACGGCAGATGCAAGTAAAGTTTTTACTACTACTTCTGAATCGAATGCGGGTGTACTGGATGTCATGGATAACTCAGTGAAGGAAGACTAAATGTCACGGTCAGGCTCTGGCAGGTGAAAACTCTTCTCTTCACCTTTAAGTTAATCCTGACCTGAGGACTGTGCGTTCGAAAATACCACAACCACTGTCTTAAAGTCGGTCTCATGGAGCGTAAATAAATATCTGGTGTTGCACTAAGCAGTATTTGCATTGCCTTGCTTTGCAAATGCCAAGCAAGTTAATTAAATTGTTGTGTGATAAGTTGAGGGGAAAAAAATGCATAATGTGCAAAGCCTTTTTAGCGCCCATTTGCTAGGAAAGGCAGTGCGGGAAAACGCAAAGCTGAGTAGAGGAAGTTGTGGGTTTTTTCCTGTAAAATGAACACAGAACAGAGAGTCTATCTGCTACCATGCAGCATGCAGTGCTGGGGAGAGGGACGTACCAATGGCAGCGAATGAGCTGGATTGTAAACAGCTGAGGAAAGAGAATAAACATCCCCAACAATGCCAAAGAGAAGAATACTGATTACTGCATGCAGAGGAATACGTGGCAGAAGGATCGTTTCTGCTCAGGGTATCCTTCAAGCAAAACAGGTGCAGAAAACGGACCACCAGAGACGCAGGACAGCCAGGGTATCATACCTTCCACATGCCTCATCGTTCTCCTTTGGTGAGAAACAATGATTACATCTGCGCAACAAAACCTTTTAAAACGGACAAAGCAGTACGCGTACGATACAGCGAGGTACCTAAACAGCCAGGAGCTGCTCCGTGGGTTGCAACAAGGGATTATTGCTGGAGGGAGCTCAAGCAAAACATGGCGAGGCCCTTGAGCGTAGCTTTGGCTACAAGGCAGCGTCAGCAGAGATGCTCTTCTCGCTCGGGTGCTAAGGCGGCGGCTGATACACGAGCGTACTGCAGTACTTGGTGCGGACAGAAAAACTAGAGCAAAACCATCGCACCCCTCATCTTGGCCAGGAATTGCCTTCCTCTTAAGCCAAGCGTGGCCAAAACTGGGCTGTAACTCTTCTCTGCTGTGCAACAGTTCTTGGCCTCGGTCACATGGTGCATCAAGAGGTGAAAAGCATTTATGTCTCCCTGTTGCAGGTTCCAGAGAAAATAAAACTGCCCCTGATCTAACGCAGCTGGGTGAGGAAAGCTGAGCTTGTGAAGGATGGAGCCCGTCTCACGTGAAAAAATCTCTGCTATCACAGCCCTAGAGTCGTGTCTCTGGAATAGAGGGACACAAAACCTGCACATCTCCAAAGGACGGAGTGGGAAGGAAAGCGCAGACTCTACCCGTAACGCTCCAAAGAGCAGAGGCACAGCCTTCCCCCTTGGGAGGCCAAAGGGACGACCGCTTCAGCGAGTCCTTGGGGTACAGAGCCCGGCTGCTGCTTGGAAATCACCTCCCAGCTCCTTCTCCACCTCATGAAAGCAAGAGCCACACCAAGTGCTGGCTTGTGCTGGCGCTGACCCAGACTCAACCCCAACCAACATCCTCCCACCTTGCGAGGAGCTGCCTCTTGCAGCACCCATCACAGCAGAAACCCAACCGCCTCTGATGCTGGTCACCAGCATCACTACATCTCCGCTCACGTTTTCTCCACGCACAATGCATATGACCTCCTCATTCTACTAAAGGGACAGAGAGAGAGGAGGTGGTGCACAACCTTCACGTAAATCATCATTAGACTGACCCGTCCTGCTCAGAAGAGGGTTGCTTCCCATAGACCATCCCATGCAGCTGGAGAGACACAGACCTCCAGGGAAAACAAATGTGTGGCCACATCTCCCCAGCTGCACAAAAGGGTTTAGAAAAACCAACCGGCAAGACGAGACTCAGGACTAATGATCTGCCCAAGATTTTTGGCTACTCACAGTTTCTCCTCTCTGTCCGGGGTGACCAGGCAATCCATCCTTCCCAGGAGGACCCTGCAGCAGAAAACCAGGGTGAGAAGGAACATGACCAAATGCTCAGTAGTAAAATTGTGATAAGAACTGAATCAAACCTTCTTGCCTCCTTGCATTAGCTCCCATCCATTTCACGGTGAAATGGGGGTGCTCAGAACCCTAAAAGATACGACCCTTTCCCATGCACCTCCCAAAGGAAAGATTTATCTTACAGGTCCAGAGCAGGAGCGAGCTGTTCAGCACAGGGAAGAAAATCGCTCCAAAAAGGTTTCTGAGGTGCCCCACAAGTATACAATAATTGCAGTGCTATTTGGTTGTGCTGTCCTCCCAGGATACAGAGGGAAAATAAAGAACGGAGCAACCATGAAAGATCCTAGCGATATTGAGTCATTAGGAAATGAACATTTATAATCAGCCGCAATTTACTTGGCTATTTAAAATCTTAAACCGTCGGGTTATTATCATGATGTCTCACTAATGCCTTTTATTGGGTACGTCACTGCTTGTCAGAGAAGCGGCTAAGACTGAGCTGGCACAGGCAGTCACAGCTGGATGGAAAAGATTTTATACATTTCTTCGCATGTTCTAGAAAGAGAGTTACTTACAGGGGGGCCTTTTGGTCCAGGAAATCCAGTCGGTCCTTGAGGCCCTGGTGGTCCCTGGGATGCAAAACAAGCCAGAAAACACGGTTAAGGAACCTATAACGCTTTGCTATGAAATACAAGCTCTGTGCGAACAGCAGATGAGCACGAAGCTACGGAAAGCCAGCTACTTCTGCCCTAAAGAAACACCCCAAAGTGCGAGATGCAGCTGCCATCTCTTGAAAAAAACCGCACGGAGAGACAAGAACCACCCGGCATGTTTAACCGAGTGGCCTGTCCAGCTGCAAAAAGCACTGCCCACATGAAGAGGGCTATCGACCGCTTTGTGCCTTTCCCTCCCAGTGCTATCAAAAATAGGTGTTTTCCCAGCCCAGCCCAACTGGGAGGACCTGGGAGCTACCAGCTCGTGCGGGAATGAAGAAGAAGAGAGCTGGTGGCTTTGGGGGGGCTGCTGCAGGCAGCTTCCCCGGAGCGGCGTCAGCAGCGGCTCGCCCCTGCGGTCACAACCAGCAGATGCAAAGCGGGGACCAACTTCATGTATTTCCTCCCTGGGCAATTTTGTAGAAAATTTACAAACAAAACCAAACCCAGGAAAAAAAAAACAAAACAGAAATTAAGGCAAAAAATCGTGAAAGTCCCATTGTTCCAATATTTTCCACCTAGTGTGCTGCAATCCGGGGAAAGCAGCACGAGGTCCCAGAGGACCACCTCCTCCAGAAAACCGGGGCTCTGGCTGTCTGCACGACACCCACGGGTGACTATTCCCACGGAGCGATGCTTCCACGGGACACCCAAGCCTTCTTCAGAGAGCTCAGAACGGACCTAAGAGCTCGTAGGTGACTTGCGAGACCCCTCTCCACACAAGCCCGTTTCACCTCGTACTTCTAAACAGATTTTTCCTTTTTTGCTGACCGAGGTAGGCTAACCTGCACCCTGGCTCCAGCGAGCTGCCCTCCCCTCTCTGCTTAACAGGGTACTTGGTAGGATGCTCGCTGGAAGAAACCCCTCAGCACCATCTCAGCCCTGCAAGAAACCCCTCAGCACCATCTCAGCCCTGCAAGAAACCCCTCAGCACCATCTCAGCCCTGCAAACCCGCCTCGTCTGCCGTGTTAAACTCACGGGCTCGGACCGAGTCCTGCTTTAGCCCCACCGGTTTGCCTTACCCTTTCGCCAGGAGGACCAGGGGGGCCATCACCACCAGAGTTGCCCTTTTACGAATAAACAAAACAACACGCCATTAAAAAATACGTATTTCACCATTGCAGCTGCTGTGCACAAAGACTTCAAATGGGCACCAAGCCCACGGTGACACCATACCCCACCGGCTCCCCCGACCCCTTGCTATTAATAATTCTGTATCAGGAACAGCATCCAGTGACAAACGAGCTCGTCCCCCTCACATCGCTTAATAAAAATACAGGAAATATAACGTCAGTGAGCTCAGGATATTTCCACCAGATAACGGCCTCCCTCTGAGAGATAAATGCCGCCGCAAAGATGAGGTATTTATCAAAAATTCATGCCGACACAAAGCCAAGACATTTATTTTTAAAGCCGGCAGCGCGGTGGTGACGACGTCTCGCTACAAAAGCTTCACTTCCATCGCACCCGGCGATTAATGGTCACTTAATCGGTCTCTGCAGCAGGTTCTGCATTGGCTGGCAGAAAAATACCTGTTTTGCCCAGTGACCAACCGTGGGCCAACAGTGTGTGTGCAAAGTGGCTCGGCAAGGTGCAAGGCTCTGGAGATCAGCAGCAATATGTGCCCCTTCGCCCGTGGCACTGCCTAAGGCCACGAAGGAGGTTCAAATGGTACTAAAACACCAAAAAATAGAGCTTAGGGAAAGCGTCAGTGGGTCGTAGGGTTGTGCTGGTCCTTCCCCCTCGGGTTGCAACGGCTCTTAATTCATGCATGCGCTCGATGTCCTGCTGCAATGTGGGTCATCGCCGCAGGCGTTCTCTCGTTGTCCGGCTGAAATGTGGGTCATCGCCGTTTTAGGGCCTGTGTATATAACTTTATGGTTGGGTTAGGAGCCGTTTGGCTGGGTAATGAAGCTCAGGAGGGCTCAGCTTTCAAAACGCAATGGAGAAAGGGAAACGGAAGGTGTTGAACCAGATGGTGTCTCATACCAACGCTTTCTAGTGCACGATTCCACCAGCATCCCCAAAAAACTCACCTTTGGGCCAGGTTTCCCAGTGCTTCCCCTAGGGCCTCTTTCCCCACGTGGACCCTTAAAAAGACACAAAATCCAACATTTTAGCCCTTCTTGCTCCCCACAGCACTACACCGTGATCAGGCAAAGCACCCAAGTGCCAGAGCTGCACCAGGTCAACGAGTCATCCCACCAGCAGCAAGGGGATGATGATGACAGGAGCCTTCGTCACTGCCGCTGGAGGTCTGATCTTGTTATGACCTTAAACCACGGCCACTGGTGAGCCCCAGCCCCAAATCACTGTGTCCCCTCTGCTTAGCTTTAGCCGCTGAAGGCCAGATCCCACCCAGTGAGGACAAAAATCAGATCCCACTTTCCCCTGGCCTTAACAAGCTTTCAAAAGGCACAAGAACGAAGAAATGGATCATTACCGTTGGACCGCGCTGCCCCCTTGGACCTGGTTTGCCAGGTGTCCCCTGGAACGAGAAAGAAATGGAGTTAGTGGCCGGCATCGCAGGCTGAGCTCGCAGCAGACGAACCCGTAACGGAGCCTGTTGCACACAAACTGCCCCCAAAACCTCCCCGGTTCTCATCTGAGAATGAAAAGGACCAACAGCTGATTTTTGGCTTTTGATTCTTCTTGTTTCATTTATAATGCTTGTACAGGCCTGGACAATAATTCCAATGTCCAGATGATATCCAACATCTGAGGGAAGAAGTCTCTTCTTAAGAAAAACGTATCCAGAGTCCTTTGAAACACGAAAAAGACTTTCAAAGACGAGGCCACCCACTCAGACCAGGCAGTCTCCTAAAAAACCATCCAACGCACCAGGGCCAGCCGAAAACTCTTCAGCTCTGCCACCCCAAAACCTACAATCCCTTTCCCCCCCGATCTTTGCTGGTCCCGAGGTGGGGAAGGGCTGGTCCTCGCCCCGGCCGGGACGCAGGCTGACTCACGCCAACGCACACGCGCGTTGCAAGACCTGTGCTGTTAAATATTTAAGGAACGGCAGCAGCAGAGCAGGGCTCCTGCTCTGAGCGGTTATTTTACGCCACGCAAGCCAATTAAGCTGCCCCACATATTTACAAATCCTTCCTCGTCTCTGTGAACTTTGCGCTAAACAAGTAATTGAAGACATTGTTTTGCAGCAGCGACAAAGCAGCAGGCTTATGAGATCTGACAGATGCACTCAGCTTCCTCTAACGGGGGACTGTGATTAATTCGGACAGAAAAAAGACAGAGACGGCTGGGTCCTAAATCTGGCATTACATTAACTCCAGTACCCGGTGCCTAAAAGAAAACTAATGGCCTAGAGCTTGCTCCCAGAAAACACCGTTCTGGCTAGCATCAAGTTACCAAAAAAATACCCACAGGTTTAAGTTTCTTCCTTCGGACCTGCCGCCCGCTGTTGTTACCAATCACCTGCTCAAGGAAGGAAGGGAAAGGCTTGCTTCCTATGCAAGGAACGCAGGACGCTTAAAATATCACTTGCCATTTTCTGCCCCAAATCCATCATCTCACAATCTCCCCTTCTTGTATCTGGCACTCGTTAACCAGGCGAACATAAAACAGGAGCTGGAAAACTTTACGATCAACTTTCTTCAAGCTACTAAAATTAGCCCTTGCTGAATCCTCCTCATTCTGTGGCTCCATTTAATAAACCCTGCTGGCATACCTTTTTTTAATTAATTACAGAAATCATTTTAAAGTACTCCAGCTGGTTTTCCTTTAGCTACAGGAGGCTAAATTCAGAGCAGGTGGAGAGGAGTGTGTGGGGCTACCTGCAGGGAGGCAGCACACACTCCTCCTCCTTCTTCAATTCTATTTTTAAGCAAAATTTTCTCCTGCTTATTGCTATCATTAATCACGCATACAGCACCGTGTACTGTTGCGAAGAATTTATATAGCACTGTAAATGTACACAGACCTGTATTTTTCAAACAGGGGTACCGAGGGAAAGGCATCTAAATTCAGATTATTTTCTAGGCACCCAAATAAACGATCTGGATTTCGGTACCTTCACACCCCCCCTGGGCTCTGTCAGACCGGCGAGGAGGGAGATCTATTACCCCGTGCTAATGGCAGAGGCCTATTAGCTCTAAAAATAAGACCACTTATTCACATCTAACTATTGATTTTACAATCAGGTTTTGAAAATGTCCAAGCTCACCCAAGCTCGCCTCCGGCTGCAGGCAGCTGGGTGAGAACGGGCACAGCGGCGAGCAGCCGCTCGCCAAAACTATGCTGATATTTAACAGGTCACGCTTCTCCAAAAACACCAAAAATCCTTTACTTCCCCCCTCTCCATTTGTAACTTTGTCAGCCCTTTTGTGCGGCTGAACGGCCAGAAGGTTTGTGGTTTCAGGTTCGGGGAAGCTTTAGTGCCGCGGGCTCTGCCAGCACCAAAATCCCGCTGCCCGTGCTGGCGGATCTGCTGGTGCTGCTCGTCCGCCTGCGGTTTTCACCTTTTTTTTTTTATTATTGAAGGACTTGGGAAGACTACTCATGTTGCTAAAATCATGAGCTTTGAAAGCTTATTTCAAATCCTAGACGATGACGATTGTAAGAGAACCGTGTGATTCATGTTATTTTGGACACATAAATAACTGCACTGAATAGCGTGATAGTAATACCTTGTAAAAAGAAAAGACAAACAAATGATTTTTGGTTGTTTCAGCTGCAAATTGGGTTACTCCACAATGCACCGGAGAAACAAATCATAGATACTCTCTTTCTTGACTATACGCAGATGTGCTCATAAAAATAGCAAATTTAGTGGTCTCAGGAGAAACAGAGCAGGATTTACCAAATCTCACTCAACAAGGCTTAGATTAAATTGATGGTCTCCCTTTGGTTTGTGCGGTGTGATCCCAGCTCGGCCTATCGGTCTGTATATAATTGCTTTTCACTTATTTCAAATTGGATACTTGGGAGCAAAAAAAAAAAAAAAAAAGGCAAACCAAAATAGTTACTGAAAAATCAGTATTTCTGCTATTCTTAAAAAATTTTCAAGCTGGGCTCCTTCTACTAAAGGAGAGATTTGTCCATGAAAATCTCTCTCTCCGCCCCCGCTCTCACATACAAACACACTGATAAAACAAGGGCTATCTGCTGGACTGGGTGTAAAATGGCATAAATGTTCCAAAAACACATCGGTGAGAGAAACACTTCAAAACGACCATCAAGTAAACCGACTTATTTCTGTTCGACAGAGGTGAGCCAGACCGTGCTCCCCCTTAGTGGTCGGGGTGCCAGTCCCTGCCCCTGCTCCCCAGGCACAAAATCCCCTCGTTTCTCCCCAAATTCCTGTCTCCTTCCTTTGCACCCGAGGTTTCGGGCTGCCGGCACACTCCGGAGCCCGACCCGGCCCAGGAGAGGGACAGCGTCCCCCGGGCGCCTCCCAGCCCCTGCGCCGGCACAACGCCAGCTTCTGAGCTGGAAACGCAAAAACCCCTTTTCCGAAGAAACGCGTGGCATGCCAGGGGTGTAACTAAGTGTCCTCACTACCTCCTCCTAAGAGCACGAGGCTCATTTAGAATTAAAGTGAGCAAGCTGCCGATTTTTTTCTTCTCTAGTCCCATCATTGCTCGGTCCTGCAGTCGGGTCCCTTCCCAGCCCACCTACTCCCTGCTCAATCCTCTTCAGGCTGAGCATTGCCAAAACTCAACCTTGGGGTTTTTTCCCATCTCATAACCGACCAGCTCCTGGCAGCTGCTCCGCTCCCTGAAAGGTTCCCCATCCCAGCGGGCTGCCTCTCCATCCCGCCAGAATAAAATCAGCAGACGGAGCAAGAGGGATGCGGATGCTCGGGGATGCAAAGCAGCACGTCTCTGCCCCGCTGCAGTGCCGATGTCCTGTTTTACACCACCCGAACATCCAGCCCGAGGATTTTATTGCTGTATATTTGCTAAGGCGGGTGGTAATTATAGGGCTACAGTGAATTCAAGGCTTTTGTGGCACCTGCCTTATTCACGGCCTCGCTCCTCCCGCCCGGCTGGAGCAAAGGGAGGGGAGAGGATGCTGCGCTTGTAGTTCAGAATGAAATGAAAATTACTCAGTGGAGAAAGAAGAAAAAAAAAAAAGAAAAAAAAAGAGAAGGGGGGTGGATATAAACCAAATTTCAGTGGCATGATATTAATGCAGTGCAAAGTGATTTATATTTTCTGGGCTCCTATCAAACACGTCTGTTAGAAGTAATTTGTATTTAAATGAGAGCAAAAAGGAAACTAATTCCACTTGCTCTCCTCACTCCCTCCTTTTTTTCCCCGTGACCAGAGCTGGTGCAGAAAATGATTTTATGTTTGTATTCTGAATCCTCTAATTCAAGCTTGTCTTCCACAAAATAAAAAAAATCACCGGTGTCTTGGACAATCCCTACTTGGGAACAAAGTCTCTGGAGGTGGGGCGAGAGGTAGAGACAAGTCTGGAGGACGGAGCCCCCACGTTTAAGGGTGTTTATGAATTTAAAATAGCTCCGGTTATTAAAAGGAGGAACTTGTAAGAGTGTTTTCATCTACGCACTTTGAATCTCAAGTTAGGCTAAAGATGGTTCTTGCTGCTTCTGAACAGATTCACCCATCTCTAATAATTACTGTTAATTAAAAAGCTCTTCGCGCCCTGAGCAAAGTCTGACAGCGCGGGAAGGATTCAGGTTCAGAGAAATCTCTTAAAATATCTTGAGGGAAAAATTTCTAGCGTTTAATTGGAAAGCTGCTGGCTGCAGAGCTGACCGTGCTGTTCCTGGCATCCTCCTCTCCCAACAGCCGGTGTTGGGAGCCTCTTGCCTGCTCCGGGCTCTCGCCGGTCCTGCGCTCCCCGCGCCGGGGACCTCATCCCGGGATGCGAGCCGGTGGGACGACCCTTCTTGGGCAACCCCTTCGTGCAAAAGCCACCAGAGCACCAGCCCAGCAGCTGCCTGCAACAGAGCGTTCCCCACCTCCTGCCCTTTGGAGAGGGAAAAATCAGCAAAGCGGCTCTTACCCGTGTGCCCTTCTCTCCGTTGGCTCCTGGAAATCCTGCGAAGCCGATTGAGCCCTTGGGGGAAGAGCCAAGAGAGAGAGAGCGGTTGCGGTTCAAGACACGGGAAGGGGCAGCTCTGTCTGCCCTGGAATAACCCCCAGCGAGCGCCCGCTGATGCCTACAGCTCCCAACGCGCTTTTTTTTCCTTTTTTTTTTAACCTCCCTTTAATAAAAAAAAAAAAGACCATGAAGACAGACCCGAAATGACCTCAGAAACAAAATTTCATCCAAAAATAACAACAACAACAAAAAGGTCTGTGCCTCATTAGGAGTCGCTGCAAAGGCGCAAGCCCACAGTTGCAGTGGGTGCCTGGGGAACAGGCAGGCTTTTGGTTTTCACCTCCTAAGTCAGTATGTTGGCACATGAAAATTTAACTCCTGGCTTGTTCCTTTCTGATGTAAGTGCCTGGAGAATAACTGCTGCTGCTTTTAAAATATGAATTAGTAGAAGAAATGCAAAATAACACCTACTCCAGATATAAAATGCAAATTAAAAAATAAACCATCAACACCATAACCAGGAAACAATCTCTTGCAGATAATTATGTCTCCAGTGTTAAACAAGCCTGTGTTTTTTTTTTTTTCCCAAGCAATGAACATGAATAATAAAATATGATTCTTGGAGGGGAAAAAAAAAAGAGTTAACAAAAACATAAGTTCCCAAAGCCTCCAGGGCATGTAAAAACTAGGCTGTAGCCTTAGTCTATGTAGTGAAATTCACAGCTTTAATTTAAAAAGAACATTTGAAAACGGCCCAAATGAAGGTGGGCGTGTAGATGAGATACAAAGGATGTTTGCAAACCTGCAAATAGCAGTTTTATTTTAATTTCAGGGAGACCCTGATTCATTAGCTCTTCTCCTTAGTTAGCGCAGATCTTTGAAGACATAAAAGATAATACAGGGAGAAGGACTATTATACCTATCGCTAGCAGGACAGCTGAGATGGAGCCTGTTTACATCCATCCCCTGAGCAGTCCTGCACCCCCCGCCGGGAGCTGGTCCCTCACCTCGCGTGCCGCAGCCCCCGTCCCCGTGCATCCCTTCCCTCGCTTTGCAGGGGACCGAAAGCGATGCAGAACCAGTCACCCATTTCCACCAGCTACGGGCTGGGAGCTATTTTTACCCATCTATAAATTTGTCCTGCATGGGGGGGGAAATGGGGGGACCCCGCTGCCGTTCCACCTTGGCCATCAGAGGACTGACCCTGGCCGAGTTACCTTTGGGCCCTGCCTGCCCGGGTAGCCGGGCAGTCCTGGCACGCCGAGTTTGCCCTGAAACACAAATAAAAGGGTGTTAGCGTAGGAAAGAGAGATCTTGCGAGCAGCTTCAGATTTGCACCAGCAGAAAGGGGAGATGCCAAGCACAGAGAAGTCAAGACCAAAGTAGGTATTACACGGGTGGAATAAAGCTGTCGGGGCACCGTGATTGTCCTCTGCCCTCCCTGGGGGGAGCCCAGGGGGTTCGACGCAGAGCGAGCACTGTAAACGTGTCAGGGACCGAGCGGGGAACGGTTATTTTTTGCTATCCTTTTGTTTCAACTGGATGCACCTAGAAAGCAGACTGGAGTCCATGATACTTTCAATTGTTCCATTTTTTCCTCCAGTCTTTTTTTCCAAGACCTTGCCCCCAAGCAGATAACCCCGAGGAGACCAACGGCTCAATGCTGCTGCAGCAAAACCATCGCCCCTGGGTCTCCTCTGGACTTTGTGTTGAACAACTCAGGCCAGCCTTCACAGAAAGCACCCACAGCTCATCTTCATCCCCTCTGCCCTGAAACTGCCCCCCCACCACCATGGTGGGCACTGCCCTGGCCACCCACCCAAGACACCCAAAGAAAAGTGGGTTTTACTCTAAAACATCCCTGGGTGATTCCATCCTTGAGACTCACCTTCTCTCCAGCAGGACCAAGAGGACCGGGATCTCCATTGGGGCCAGAGCGACCTTTGGGACCTTCAGGACCATCCTCACCCCGGGGGCCAGGAGGTCCAATTTCCCCCTGTTAATCACGAGACAAGCGTCGATGAGGCGGGCAGGTCCCAGACCCTGCGTTTGCTGACAGCAATACCCTCAACAACTGCAATCAGATACTCCACGGAGTTGCTGATACTACTCGTGGAGAAAGCCGGTCCTCACCAAGAGGCTCAGACGAGATCGTCATTGAGTACATTGCAGAGCGCTATTAGAGCTCATTCACACAGCCTGGCCGTTATCTCCCACAACAGCCGTCTCTTCCTGTGGCCCAATTATCCCATCCACACACAGCACCTCTCCACCGAAACAGCCTTCGTTAGCTCTGATCGCAACGCACCCGTTTACCCACCTCCCCGTTCCCAAATCGCAGCCTGATGTGCAAGCAAGCCCTGGGAAGGGTCTAATTGAGGGGTGAACTGGGCAACTGGAGGAGACAGACCGGGCTGGAGCTTTTGTGCTGAAAGTCATTAGGAAATCTGAGAGCGGAGAGGACCGAGCTATTAGCGTGAGTTGTTGTGACACTGCAGGCTCTGGCACACAAAGCAACAGTTGTCATTTTGTCACGCAGGGTAACAGGAGATGCTTCCACGCTGCAAACACAGGCAGCCGCCTTCTCGCTCACCAGAAGCTGGGTGGCCGCAGATTTATCTGCGAGGCTCTCGAGTACCCCTTGTCCTTTCACTGCTCATCATAAACCACAAAGAGCTTGATGGTGGGAACTGGAGTCGGCAGCTTTGTTTGAAGGAGCTAACGTCTACCTGCATTTGGCGAGGACGGGAGTCGCCTCCCTGAGATGCCACCTTTGCTCCTTCCTCGGCAAGAAGCGGGGGCTGTGGAAGCTTTCAATTATTTCAGTTGCTCAATTACACAATTAAACACCAGGAGAAATGGAGGATTTGAAGTCTACTTTGCAAGCCTTCACGCAAGGGATTAATTTTTCCTTTAAACATGGGGATGATGACGGCAGAGCTCTCCTGATCCCTGGGTGGGCTTCAGAGCTCAGGGGGATGCCCAGACCCAGGCGGTGCATCACTCGGAGAGGGGACGAGGACACTCCCCTGTCCCCAAGGGCTGGCGCAGAGGACGGACAGACGTGCTGCAAAGCCAGGAGCTGCAGCCGCTGCCGGCATCCGAGCGTGATTTGGGGTCCTGGTGGTCTGTGTGTTCCACTGATTTTAAAAGCTCGTGCGACCAGGCAACGTGCCCTGCTGCTGAAGATACGAGTCTAATATCACACTACAGCCCTGGCCGTTTTCACAGCGCTGCTTTGGTTTCTATTACAGTGTGTTCCCGCAAACTTGATACTTCACATTGATGGTATGGAAGCACATTAGACTCAGCAAATAAAGATGCCTACCAGACCTTAGATGTAATATTATGGGGGAAAAGAGATACTGGAAATAAATATATGATACAGCTGTATCACGCAGTATTCCTAGCAGTCAAAGCAGCAAGACAGGGCCCTCTACTATTACTCAGTTTTATTTTACCTTCAAGATGGGACTAGCAAATTTAGGGATTTACAACTGCTGCGCTCGACATGAACGCGAAACTCCTGAGTTCCTGCCTCGGGATCGGACATGCCAGAAGGACTCCGACGAGAGCCCACCTCGCTGCTCTCCCGAGCCGTGTTCGCACGGTAATGCACAGGCTTGAAAGGCAAAGCACTACCAGATCACATCGGACAGCTTACCCGGTCTCCTTTGATGCCCATATCACCTTTGAAGCCAGGGAAGCCATCTTCACCCTAAACAACGGAGGGGAAAAAACAGACAAGGTGTATAAATGGGAAAAAAAGAAAAAAAAGGCTTCTCTAGCCTCACTGTATGGCCCCTACCCGGGCGGACAAGGTGAGGTCCCTGACTGCCCATCGCGCTGGCTTCTGTAACTCTGGTGTGCACAAACGGGCATGAAAACCCAGCCAGGCTGCGACCACCGAGGTCCCCGAGGGATGGCAGCAAGTATTCCCTACATCCCGTCCTGGGCACAAGTCAAGATCACAAATCTGGCCCGATGTGAATAACAACACCCTGCCGGTACTGGGAACCAATTATTTCTGAAGTACAACTGGTTTTATTTTCACGTTTTACACCATGCTTCGAGGCAACCTCCAGGACAGTGGCAGTATTTCTTTCAGCCAAGAAGGTTTAATTGCAGAGCTCAAATCAATAATGTATTTCATCCTACGGCAAATCTCTCATAGGCAACGAAGACACAGTTCCCAGAAAGACTTTTAAAGTTTGGAAGATCCCTGCCAGGATTCCCTAGCTAAAACTGCCGGCTTTGCTGCTGAATTGCTGGGGGCAGGGACGAAGGCACACGGATCTGTCTTCAGCTCCACTCAGTCACCCAAGATGCAAATTTTGTCAGGAGGAAATCATCCGGGTGCCAGACCCCGAGCTATCAGTAACGGCTGCCCCAGCAAAGAGCTCGAAACCCGAGCGTGCCGCGCAGGACTCCCCGGTCCAAGCCAAGACGTGGCAGAACATCACGGCCGGTACGCAGCCTGTGCCTGCTCCAAACCCAAAGAGGTCACCAGTCCTTCGGGTGCTCAGCCATCCTGCTCGTCTAAGAGAAACCTCCGTGCCGGAGAAAACGTCACGGGTGGCATCCTGCAGGATGGGTCTGCAAAAATGCTCAGAGAAAATCCATCCAAATGTACGGTGTTAACTCACCTTTTCACCTTTGGTGCCTTTCAATCCACGAACACCATCTGCTCCCTTGCAGGAGATAAAACAAGACGTTACAAGGGTGTAGGTAAGCTTAAGAGTGACGAATCATTAATCATGCTGATTTTTGCTTTCTCTGCTGTTGACAACGGTAACCCTGCAAACTGTGTTGTTCCTAAACATACTGCTAATCAAATATCAGCCGCTGACATCTGGCTCTTGGGTCACTAGCACGCACTTTATGGTCACAAACCTCTGCTGACTTGATTTGGCAGATGGAGTCGGTGGTCTCTGCCCAGGAGTTATGCTTCCAGGGATAAAACTCACTATGAAAAGTTTTTCTGCGTGTATTTTTTAAAAAAAAAAACCAACAGTTCCACAAATACCTTGCCGGCACACTGAGTTCACTCGAGTATTCACAGAAAAACCAGCGCTCAAGCCGCGCGCGGAAACTTGGGAACTGAACCCATTTTAAAACCTCGGAGCACATCGCCAGAGATTTGCGTGCTGCTCTGCAGCAGGCAGCAGCACCGTGTCCACCAGCCCCAGCAGTTAAACTTGGCTCTTTTTGACCACGGTGCTCCCCTCTGTGCACGCATTATTTTTTTAAAAGTACCTTTAGGCACCAAAAAAGGAAGGGGGGGGGGAGCGGGGGGAAGTAACACGACGGTGTGGGCATTTGTGACACGGTGCAGAAACCATCCAAAGCTTCACCGAGGCAATCGGTCCGCGGGGTCCAGCCTGGAGGTGAGGTGCTGAGTGTGGTCAGGATCTGTCCCCTGCTACGCCAGCACGAATCTGTTGGCCCCCCACGCTTCCCATCTATCCTGCCTCTTGGGATAAACCATCACCCTCAGGTATCTACACCAGCTGTACTATGCAATGTAATTCTTACAATAAAAAACAGGCGGCTTTGGGGTTTTTGTTTTTTAGGAATAATATTTTGTTTAGGGTATTTTAATTTTTTTCTTCTTTTTAGCATGTCAAGAAAAAGTATAATTAAAGTACATCAAAATCTGTGCAGCAGGATAGGGTTCTGGTAAGTGAGGCAAGATCTAAAAATTATTTATAGCTGCAAAGCCAATGAGACACATTTTTTTTCTGAACCGGAGGCTCGTGCAGTTAACAGAACGCTGCTTGTAGGAAGCAAAATTGTGTCTGTACGCACTACGGGTTTGGTGCATGACACACTTTCTCCAGATCATTCTAATGTGGAACAGTTCCACTTTAGCGGTAAACACAACAGCAAACCATTCCCTAATGGACCACTACATCTCAATCTGCAACCCTGCAATAAATGAGATGGAAGCTTGCTTTGGCTAAATACATCCCGCTTAAATTTTGAAGGCAGAACAGCAAATGGGTTTCTGCTACTGAAAAAATATACAAGGGGCTTTAAGAGGGCTTAACGTCACCTACAGTCAGTCCCCAAGCTGTGTTTGTATCTGCGCGCACAGATCCCTGCAGATTCGTTGGACCTTTGGGATGCAGGATGCATCTGCACCTGAACTAATACATCTCCATGGGCATAACAGCCACAGCTGAATGGGGAAAAGCCACCCACCGCCGCCTTATCAGCATGCAAGCGCGGCAGGCAGCAGGAGCGAGGAAAGAGCTGGAATTCAGTCTAGTGAAAAAGCACACTGGTGAGACGCACAAGCTTCGTCTAACAAGGTTTTGGATCAGGAGCATGAAAAGCTTGCTTTGTTTTAGTAATAGGCTATTTTGTTTTATTAACAAGCCTTGTTAAAGTTTTCACATTCTGGCTGAGATTTACTTTGGTTGTAAACTGGAAATGATTGGAATGGGACCGAGCCATGCTCACTTAGAATTAAAAGAGAAATCTCTCCAAAGCGCTGAACGATGCTAGGAAGGGGGTACTGGAGAGCAGGGGGCTTGTAATCCTCACAGCCTGAGAGAAGACACTGGACCAAGGCTCGCTTGAGCGGTAAATATGGTCAGTGGTGGCCCTCAGCATCCTCGTAGGGCATCCGTGCCCACCAACAGCGTTCATCTCCAACACAAGCCGGAGAATTCGAGTTGAATGAGCAATGCCATGGATGCTGTTTCTGCATGCTCCTTACCTTGACTCCACGTGGTCCTGGATAACCGATGGGGCCCTGAGGACCTGGTGGACCCTGGGGTGAAAAAAATGCAAACAAGAAAAACACATCAGAAATCAATATGAAAGCACAGCAGTAAGGAGAATGTGTGGAAGATAAAATATCCCAGCCACCCAGCTGCTCCAGACTGGGTGGAAATGGCAGCAGCCAGCTGGAAATAGCTCAGAATAGCAGAGAGCTACAGGAACGTCCCCTCGGGTAGGTGCACTGGGCTGAGCCAACGGCAAAGAGCCATATGATAGGAAAGGAGGATGAGAAGAGTCAGGAGAGCAACAACTTGTTAGAAAGGGGATTTATGCATACGATTGCTGATCTGTGCTTTGGATTAAAGAAAAGAACAACTTCTCTGAAAGAGGAAGAACATGTTCTGCTGTGTCCCCCCCGCCCAAACCATCCAGGTTTCACAGTAACAGCAGAGCTTGTGGTGACGACGATCACAGAGAGGAGACATTGCTTGAGGCACAAGCCTGAGGTGACATCCTTTGGCCTCTGCTGTGTGGGAGAGGAGATGCTCACAAAGCTCCTTTCGGGCACCGAAAGCTGCAAATCCCCAAGGACACCACGAGCTGTGCTGGACACGGGGCCTGATACGCACCCTGCAAAATATCTCCTTCCCACCCTTACTGCCACGCTGTCTTATACCTGCAAATAAATCACGTTCTTTATTGAACCCAGTTAGCTTTTATTTTGCTCAATGCCCCAACTAAACAAACACCCCTCCATTCCTCCCAGCCTGTGACGGACGGCTTTTTCCAGCCTGACAGCCAGACGGAGCCGACAGGTCCACCAGCGCTGCTCCAAGATCACCTCCCTGAGGTTTGCTAAACATCTCCCAGCACGGGGAACGCCGGCACAACCACTTATTGGCTTCTCATATTCTGCAGAGGCCAACGTTTGAATTTTCGGCCTCGTGTGACACCAGCCAGACAAATGGCTGCGGCCGCGGGTTGCGCTCCATGCAGCACTCGCGCAAGGCTCGAGTGGACGTCCATCAAACCGGACTACGCTCTAAACAAAGACTTTTGACAAATGTAATGTTTTTCAACTGAATGGGACACAGCGGGAATGCAGATGGTAAATCTCCCGGACAGACGGATGACTCTATAATTCAAAGACTCTAGCCCTCCAGCAATATTCTCAAATATATTGTTAAAGAGGGACTTTGAGGGGGAAGGGAAGAAAAAAGAAGACCAGGAATACAAAAAGAGTTATTTTCTGCGTTCCCTGTGCCACAGAAGATATTTATTTGTGTCTGATTAAGAGAAGGTTTCCCTTCACAGTTTCAGTTTTCACATCCACTGGGCTACGGAGCGCTGCTTGCCAGGGTAGCTGGGAGAAGTTAAGAAAAGACCAGCCCAAGCACCAGAGGAGACTCCCAAGCAGAAGCAAGCCAGGCTCAGCTTTCAAATTTCCACAAGGTTTGCTTCTCACCAGCTCCGCTGACCCACATCCCCTGGCTGCCCGGCCATCCCCGGCGCCCCATGGAGATCTGTCTCCATCCAGCTACCATGACCTTCCCCCCTTAGCAGCGATGAGGCTCTTGTTGACACTTACCTGACTCCCCTTCTCTCCAGGAGGACCTTCCTTGCCAGGATGACCCTGTTAATAAAAGGGACAAAGAGGGCAATGGGTTGAGTGCACACCTAATGCTTCAGAAGCCAACAAGCTCGCTCGGGCAGCTATGATTTATTTGTGAGGGAAGAGTTGCTCTCCAGGAAGCTCTTACTGATACAAGTAGCCCCCCTGAAGCCAACTTGCAAGAGTAAGCTTTCCCCAAAAGGAAGAGCACTGCATTCGGTTCCTTAGTGGTATTCTACCTGGTTATTTTAGACTTTTACTCTTCAGCACCTTTTATCAGAGGAGCACAAACCATTTTGCAATACCCTTCACGTATTAGAACACCTCAGTGAGTTCAGCAGCAAGCAGCATATAAATTTTGCAGATAGGAAAACAGATAAAATTAACTCCGTGCGTTAGCAAGGAGTTAGCAAGGTCACAAGATGCCCAGACTGGTCAGAGCCCCTCATTAATTTCCTAATTCCTAGAGTCCATTCCAAGATCTCATGACAAATGCTCAGCTAACCTGCACCCCCCTTAGACACCGGCTGGCTGGATGCTGGCCAGCATTCCTCTTGGGATTTGATGCTGAATAACTCAACATCCAAGAGTTTCCAACACATTCTCATTCATAGCCTATAGAAGCCTTTTGCTGGGATTGCAGTCAGTAGAAAAGTGTGAATTGCCTCAGATGTAGCCTGGAGGATTAGTGAAGAAACGGGGGAAATCCATGAAAGTAGTTTTTAGTGTTGATTCTCCTCCTGTCGGGACCAAACCAGAGTCAGGATGGAAGATGACTCTTCGGTTGCCAATGTCTGTACAAAAGCAATAAGCCCCCCACGAGGGCACTCACTGCACACCCAGGGAACTTTTTCTCATATAAAGATGATGAGAGCACATCCAGCTGCTCTAAAGCCACTAAGACCTTCTGCACTCAATGGTTTCTTTACTTATGAACTCCCTTCTAAATACACAAATGACTTTCTGGCAATATAACGAGTAAAATCGTGAGACTGTTTTCCATCATCAATCTCCAGAATGGGAATGTCAGACAAGCCAGATTTCATAAATCAGGCTAGTTTAATAAAGAAACAAAATGACAGCTGTCATTTGTACACCAACAAAACGTAGGAGAAAATACAATCTGAATTTGTCCTGCGAGTTTAAATGCCACCGAGAGCATCAGTGCACAAAGGGGGACATCCAACCGTGCCTGCCTTCAGCTCCTGATATCTGCACCCCAGGGGAGGCAAAATGAAGTGCAGCAAGATTTCAGAAGCCCTCGTCCACTCTACGCTAAATCATCACCATTTGCAAAATGCCCATCTCCATTACTGCTACTAAGATCAAAAATTGATGAGCAACTCGGCTGGCTTTTGCAACGAGATGCTTCAGGCCCTCAGGGCTTTCCAGATGTCTTCCAAGACCAATTTCTATAAAGAGAACACAGGCGGGTTTTTGTCCTTGGAAAGAGCAACTCACACGCTTACAAACCTACAAACTGTCTGTAAACTACATGGCTACCCGTGGTGAAGGACCTGTGTCCACGCAGACCCAAACGTGCTCAGTTTGCAGGTCTTATCCAGCCTTCAGTCTGCATAACAACAGACCTGGCATCTTCTCCAGATGCACATCCCTGGAGGCTGCTGTAGGAATTTCACAGCGAAAGCTACAGCCTTAGAGATGGTCTGGGCTTTGCTTTAGCTGCTCTGTTGATTCAGTTAACAGTTGTACGAATGTTCGAAATGCCCTCCGTAGGAATGATAATCCCAAGGTGGGAAATGTAATTTTTTTTTTTTTGCGCCATACTCTGCATTTGCATTAGTGGAATGTAACTATTTTACATTTGTCATTCTTAAAACCAGGTGCCTCTGAGCTGTGTAAAAATGAGATCAGGTTTAAAGGCCGAAGATTTTTTAAGACTAATTTCCAGAGCAAGGAGCAAATAATGTTTAAAATAGGATTAGGAGGAAGCTGCAAGAATACAACGCTGACATGCAATTTCAACCTGTTCTTATCACCGTTCTGCAGCAGCGCCCAGCGGCCCCAAGCGAGATGCGGACCACCCCGTGCTAGCGCTGCGGTACGCATAACCGCGCACACAGAGGAGACCGTCCCTACCTCGGTGAGCTGCCAACCTGCACAGAACAGAGAGGAGAAACAGAAGGAGGGGAAAGAGAGGCGCAGGGAGATGGTGAGAAGCACCTAGCGCTGCGGGGCTGAGCAAAGCTTGGAGCAGGGCAGGGCTTCTCGAACTCAAACCCTTCCACCCAGCCGAAACGCGGGCAGGGTGAGCCTGACCTCGCGGGCGCACGTGCTTCACAAGCCCAGGGTGCACCCCAGGCTGGGTGGGTGCAGGATCGGGCCCCGCGGCCCTGGTGCCAAGCAGAGACCTGGGTGAGGATGACTTACCGGAGGACCATCTGCACCAGGCATGCCGGGAAGACCAGGTTTGCCCAGCGGCCCCTAAAAACAAACAGAAAATCAACAGCTGCAACGGCCAGAGTCCCCGGAGCATCGGAGACACATTTCTTGCTTTTCCCAGCTGTGAAAGGCTGCAGAGCAGTGAGTCTGTTGGAAAAGCTGCCGTGACTTGTAGGGAGTCGTCTCATTTCTGTGGGCAGAGTTGTTCCCGCGCGCTCGGATGCTGCAGCGCCAGCGCCAGCCCCTCACACAGACACGATACAGCAAGGAGAGCTCAGCGGAGGAACCCCGGGGCACGAGGCGTCGCGCTGCCGTCCCGCTGAGAGGGCACGATGCTGCACGTGTATAAGCACAAGCTGGAGGATATCAAACTACGGGGCTCACTGGACTGAGAAATGCCCATTCTTTGGTGACAAATGACAAGACAATTAACTGGTGAAGGAAGATCGATAATTCGGGTCTGCCCCATGCTGCCGAGGCAAGCCGGGGATCCTCCCGGGACGCACACCGTGTCCCTGCTCAACGGGAGCTGGGCAAACACCTGGAGAATTACTGCTCTGCAGGCAAAACTGTTCCCCTTGTCTAAATCCCGATGGTCCCAGGGCTGCCCCGGGGGATGCGAGGCCAGCACCCACCCCACGGCAACGGCAACGCAGAATCAGAGCGAGCTGGCGCAGGCGGGGAGGAGGGGATCTCAGCTGAGCCAGCCAAATCCGCCGGCTCTTCCCATTACCATCCCGCTCAGACTTCCAGGCATTTAGCCCACAGAAAAAGACAATTTTCAGTCCTCTCCTAATGTTTTACCATAGGCTGCCTTCAAAATGTTTCTCTTAAGATGGGAAATGAATGCAAATATTATGAATTAGAGGTAAACCGTGCCTTCTTGTCTCTCTTCCGTCTGGAATGAGAGGCATTAGACTTTCATAGACACGGCTGCAAACAGATGTTGCATATGGGGCAAAGGAGCAGCTGAAGTAGCAAATGCATATTAATGCAACAGTTGTCTTAAGTCAGAGCTGCAGTATTTAAACGTACTTTCTCTCCTGGGGGACCGATCGCGCCTTGTGGACCTGGAAGACCCTGTGAAAAGAAAAAAACCTAGGGTCATTAAGGAACAAGTTATTCATTCCAAATGCATTTTGGCAGTACCTCAGCTGAGCATCGTTCTAGTGCCTGCGACGGCTGGGGATTTCCCCAGCTCCATTCATTCTCAAAATGTCTTGCGAGAGACGATAAAATTTCATTTTTTGCACGGCATGCCTCCTCCGGAGAGCTGGACTGCTCCACCGTGTGCAGCCAGGCTCATCCCCAAGGTGGAAAGAGAGATGCTCTGAGGAGCGAGACTTGTGGAGAGCCGTGCAGAAGGCTGACGGCAAGGCTTGGACGTCCGTACCACCCATCTGGCTCCAGAGCAACTGGACCGTGGGATGCTAAAAATCAGACACGAGCCACAAGATGTGACTCGGCCGAAGAGTCTGCTCGGCCCTGGGCTTGGCTTTGCATCACGGCAGCAAAAGCCAGGTGAGAACCAGGGGGATCTGAAACGGGACCGTTTGCAGTAAGATTTTGGGCCAGCGATGTATCATCAAGCCAATTCCCAGCACCTCTCAACATTGCTGGTCCCGTCTCTAGCAGGGAAGCGGAGCTCGTGCAAAATTATCATTCCCATTTCCTACCCGTGGAAAAGGAGTTTTCCTCTTACCTGAGCACCCGGGTTACCCTGCTGTCCTGGGGGACCCGGCTCTCCTTGCGGACCCTGCGAGGAGACAAGGGCAGAGCTGAAGGCAGGAGAGGCGAGAGCAGGGCCGGTGCTTCCTCGGGCACCGCGGCTCCTGCCCCCGCACAGCCCCGGGTCCTCTCGCAGCATCTCGACACCCTCTCTAACCCGCTGCCGGGAACCCAGAGCTCCTGGGAAAGGGAAACAGCTTCTTTCCACCGTGGGACAGGGAGGGGGGAAGTTACTGCAGGGCACACTCACGCTCTGCATGGACACGCAGCCCAAATTGGCCAACCCAGCCTTGCACGGGCTCTTCTGCAGGGAGCCCATTTCATCCGATTAGCACAAAGCAGGAGGCATATAAAGATTTATTTTTTTTTTCCCCTCAAGTTAAATTACTATATTTTGATATTCATTAGGACAACACACATCTTGATGAAAATGTTTGATCTTTCATGGGGAAATAATGTGTAATTCCATCAGAAATTGTAATAAATTAACATCCATTTGCTGTAGGAAGATACCCTCTGTGGTTTTCACAGACTCTGATAGGAAGCTAGACCAGGCTAAAAAGCAATTAGCAAATCTAATTTAATAGAGTACATTTTACCTTTCACTCTATATAAAATCTGAACTGTCTGTGAAATTTGCAGTAAAAACTTACCACATTCCCCTTGGGACCCGTCTGTCCATCCATACCAGCCACACCCTGAGAAAGGATTTAAACAACAGCACCAAGAAAATATCTTGTTATTTTGCGCCACAAAAGCAGAGAAATTGTCATAAAAATAACAAATCATCAGGAGGCCATTTGGACCACGCGGAAAGGGAACAATTTTCTAAAGGTGTTTGGTAAAGCAGCCAATTCCACGAATCCAGATTACACTTTCTAAAGTCATTTCAGTGTTTTCCCCACTGGTTTAACCTGCCTGTGAGGCAGAATCAGCGCCAGGTCGAGCAAATCCTGGCTAAGCACCGTAGCCGATCGCCTCCGACAGCGAGCAGGAGCGGAGCAGCAAATGCAAAGGAACAACCGGACAAAAGATGCGGATGCATCGTTCCGCAAGGCAGCGGGTGACGGCAACGGGGCCGCGCCGCCTTGTGCCAAAACAAACGGCAACGGGGGTCCAACGCTGCCTGAGCACCTGCGTGAAGGGGTAGCACGGTACACGGGCAACCGGAGATGTCCCGCTGGGGGTTCCCCGCCACCGTTCTGCTCTGGGGCAGGACAAGGTACCCGGGCGTAACGGCGAGAGACGGTTTTGGGGCAGCTCCTGATGGACGAGGAGCTCAGAGTGAGGATGTCTCTGCGTCCCAGGAGGGGCTAAGGGCTTCACAACGCTCACCATTACACACTGATCCCAGCCGCAGCCTGGCTTTCGGCTTTTACGTTCTGGGACTTCAGCGAGCTGCAGTGATTTACGCAGAGCCCTGCATCAGCACGGCTTCCAGCAGCGCAGGACAGGTGAGGTGACTGTCTCCCGAATAAAAAACAGTACGTTCTTTCCTCGGCTTTTGCCCGAAATACGGACAAACTGCTTTACGGTCTCACCAGCCCTCAGGCAGAAGTTAACAGCAAAGCCACTCTGTTAATAACTCTCAGTCTTCCTTTTCAGCCCAAGCGAGACGTTAATATTTACTCAGGTGGGCCAAATCTCGACTTGCCGTAAATGGATGTGACGCCACTGAAAACGGGGGAGAATATGGACTCTGAGCCGTAACTTTTTTTTTTTTAATACCACTTCTTTCCATTGCGCGGATGTATAAAATTATGCAGCTGTATTATCTGCTTGAATGACTAACGGGGACAGGGTATCTGCCCGGAAAGCTGAGCTGACTGCCTGAGCAGGGCAGCAGCCCCGGGAACTCACCGGTGGCCCCGGGGGTCCCGGCGGCCCCTTCGGTCCCAACAGTCCTCGGGGTCCCTGTTGGGGGAAACAAACGGCGTTAGCGTTTCCCGTCCCTCTCCCCTGCGCTGCCGTGAGCGTGGATCGGGGCGAGCTCGTGCACGGCTGAGCATCGCTCGTCCCGGGGAAGCGTTGGGGCTGGCGTGGCAGCAACCGTGCTGGTTTTGCTTTCTTGGTTTACAAACCGGTAAGAGATATCCTGCGTTCACAGATCCTTGAATTATAAAGATAAATAACATAGGCACAGACATTTATTCTTTGGATTGGAAGAAGGCCCACTTAAACCAATGTTTTTTTATTAATTTAATCATATTCCTGGATTACCCTGTAACGCACACAATGATGCAAAACACTTTGCAGCCAAGTCGTTCCAGCCGGGGAGCATTATGAAGAACGACCTGACACCACTAATGGATCGTTAGGGTTAGCATTTCAAAATCTCTCTGGAGTTGATTTTTATCATTGACAATCTACACATCTCAGCAAGGCTGGAAAAGGTTTTCAGCCCGCAGCATAAATGTACGTTTTCAAAAGGATTTGGTTCTTAAACCTTAACCAGTCAGGACTCCGGGTATCATGGTGGGTTTTTTCCATTTCTAGCTTTCTCACCAGATTTAACCTCACAGCATCTTCAGGGAAATCGCTAAGATCGGAGCATCGCATTGAATAAGCGGAGGCATGGCAGGAGAACTGTATTCACCCGACAGAAGCTTTGCAAACCGCACCCTGCCATCTCCTCTGCCTTGAGCCTTCAGGTGGGTTTGTGGCGAAAGGAAAGGGACGGGCTCTGGGGTGCACTCCGCTGCGGATCTCAAAGCTCATCTTTTAAATACGGGCCCTTTCTTAAATTGGGGGCCGCAGGGGGACTCTGGGTATTTACAAGGATGGTGCTCGTTCACTGTCACAGAGGAAAATCGTTCTTGATTGATGGGCAGTTTTATCTGTCTGCCCAAATATTATACGTCCCTTTTTATGATGCAGAGAGGACACAGGAATTAAAATGAAATGTTACAGGATAAAATAGGAGACATTAAGAAAGTGTCTGATCTTGGAGACCGTGTGGATTTTGATCCTGGGAAGAAAAAAAAAAAAAAAAAAAAAAGGAGTTTGCCAGGGGTCTGTCCCAGCCACCAAAGCTTTGCACGCTGAGCCCCTGCGGAGCAGAAACTCTGCTCGTACCAACTGGCGATAGGAGTTGGAAGGAAATGGAGCAGGATGAAGAGAAACAAATTTTCAAGTCCCATCACTAGCTTCAGTTACCATTACATTTGGAAAGATCCTCTTTTGGCTCAGAGCAGAGAGAAAGACAAATGCACAGATTTATTTATAACAAAAAGTTTCCCGCAATGCAATTTATACCTTTCCTCTGGCCACCACGGGTATTTTTACTTGTGTTGCTGAAATAAAAATAAACTTCCCTGCATGCATTATCATCATTTAAGTTCCTCTTTTGTTACTGTGTTACCTGAGCACATAAATGCTTTTAAGAAGTTAATAACCCATAAATTATTGCTTAGACATGTGTTAAGGAGATAGCTAGGTTGATTAATCTTTCTCAGAAGTTAATCAGACATCTCGTCTATAATTTAGTTCCAGTGAGTCCGTAAATGCCAACCCTTCCCTTTCTCACATGAAGTGTGTCCAACAGTTCTCATCAGTTACTCTCAGGCCACCACGCTGGGCCTTAGAACAACAAAATAAGACATTTTGAAAGCAAAGCCAATGGCCAATGATAGGTAGTTACGCTCGTTTCATAACAAAGGAAATGCATTTTGGATTAAACAAGCAGCCGACAACTGTAGTACACACAAAAACCTACAGCCAGCCAGAAGCAGAGTTTACCATTGCCAATAAAGTACAAAATACTCGATACTGGGGAAAAAATGCTTTCAGAGTCTCAAATTGACAACCCAACTCTTCTTTTTCAGTGGGATGCTCCCTGAAAGCATTTCTTTGGGTTGGTCAGGAGATTTTTGTTCAATACCACTAGCATCTCCTTCAAACCTTATCGATACTAGGAATGAATCCTTCCCTAGCCCTGGTTCAGCTGCTCCGGTGTTAGCAGCGTGTGGAGGCCCAAACAAAACAAACCTTGCAGATTTATGACGTTTAATGCACTGTGAACAGAATATTGACCCCACTGGAGTCAGGGTAAAAGTCCTCCTGAGCTCAATCCCATCAGGATTTCATCCGGACATTTAAAAGGGATCGCTCACTCTGCACAGAACTAAGCGTGGGAGCTTCACGGCGAATTGCTGCCATTACCCGTGCAACAGCAGACAGAACCATTCCTCACTGGAGTTTGCTATGAACACTCATGAAAACTGTATTTCACATATGTTTACCATGCATAATTTCTACCCCAGCCTACTCACTTGAATCCTAAATAACACATCAGGAAGAAGGAAAGGTATGAGACCAATCTAAGCTAATTTAAAATTATAGAGTTTAAATTTCAAATGCGAGCCAGGGAGCAATCAAAATCAATGAGAATTTTGCTCGTTAAAAAAAAAGAACAAAACAAAACATCAACCAAACAAAGAAACCCAGAAAGCATCTTCTCGGTAGGCATCTTGGTGAAAAATAGCAAAACAGAGCTGTTACAGCAAAGATAACACATGGATCTTCACGTTCAGTCCCTGCAGAACCTCAGGGCTCTCGCTTAGCACCAGAAGTGCTGCTGAACTCCTAAACCACCGTTTCTGTAGCAAGACCTTGACCAAAGCAGAGCTGCCAAAGGAGATACTCACAGGTTCTCCAGGTAGACCTCTGGGTCCAACTTCTCCATCATCTCCCTGCTCAGCAGCAAAGGCACAGAGAGAAGCAGCAAAAGAGACAGAACAGACCAGTTATATTTCAGTCACATCCAGGTGTTTCATTCTTGTTAAATAATAATCACACAGAAAACCAGCTTCCCTGGAGTAATAAAAGGGTAGCCGTGCATAAGGAAGACCTTGTAAGCCTGGAGACTAATACTGCACGTGCAGAATTTACTGAGGATTAGAAATGCTGTAAGGATACTTCATAATTCATGTCGATGTTTATAAAGATGGATTTTGCTAATAGACAAGATATTGTAGAAACAATTCAGGGCACGCGAGTCAATAACTGCAAGATTTAGTACCCAACCGAATGGGAAGCCAGCATGGGAGTGCCGCCCTGGGAACGCGATTTAGGCAAATTAGCCCACGGGCTCCTCAGATAAACCCGAGGCGGCAAAGGGGCAATTGCGCCCCCCCCCCCCGCTCCCATCGCCTGCTGATGCCCCAGCAGCCTTAGACGGTGCTTCCCCCGAGCAGCTTTTAAAGCACCCCAGCCCTGAGGCTCCCTCTTAGGAAATCCATCCCAGCAGCCGGCCCTCGTAAACCCTCCTCTTCTGCTGATAAAATCCACGCTCTTCTTCCCAGTCGTGCCCTCCGAGCTTCTCTCCCTGCACACCTTGAATGGTTTCTTTTTCTCTCTAGGATTACAGTTCTCCAGACACTTTTTCTTCCCCCGCAAGACAGGGGTTTCATCTTTTCAACTTCAAAGCGCTTTACAGCCACAACTAATTAATCCTCACAACCTCCTGGGGAGGAAGGTGTTATTATCTGTGCTTTACAGAGGACACAAATAGCCAAAGGTGGCAAGAACACATCGTGGAGGGGGATTAGAGCCCGGGAAATCCCTTCTCGCTCCTGCAATTAAACCATGCGCTCTTCACAGCTACGTATTCAGCATTTTCAATCTCTCCTCTTAAACCAGCCCTACTAGACCAGCAATCACTTAGTCTGAGCTTTGCTAAAGGCCTTTGACTACTGACTAAACAGTGTGCAAGGAGAAGGGAACAATTTAATCTTTGATTCCTACATCTGTCTGGAATTTCTGTTCCCCAGATCTTGCTGCAGTTTGCTGGATCTTAGAAAATCAGAAGTGATAGTTTGCACACCTAGAGGGTGAACGTTTCTCTGGTGTTATTTTTTTAATTTTAACAAAACCTGACTTTTCTGACCGCATCTTTAAAAACAAATTCTTCTTTTCACTTTTACTCCCATCCCCTTGCTCTGCTCCCCTCTCGCCACGGCCACCCGGGGATGCTTCCCCAGGACACGAGGACGGGGCGCTGGCGCTGCTGACCGGCCGCAGACGACATGCCGGTGCCGGCTGCTCTTGCCCCGTCTCTGGCTGATATCGCATCTGCTTCTTGTTTATAGGAGTTAGTTACTAATTCAAAGGACCGCTGAATCCAGAGAAGGACTTACCCTCTCCCCATCCTCTCCGGGTGCTCCCGGGGGTCCGTGGGGGCCTGGCTCACCCTATAAAGAAACAACAGAAAAAGCTTCAGAGGAGGCAGAGACACTCTGGGAATAGAAAACATCGGGTAACACCGAGAAACCAAGCAACGGGCTCGACTTTTCTGCCTGCACCGTGTGCTGAAGGCGCTCGTACCCTCCTGGCTCCCTGTGCGCGGTGAAGCAGCAGCCCTTCTCTACCCACTCGGGGCCACGCGTGGGCTCCAGCACGGACCAGAGCTCACGGGATTTTACTGGTGACACTTCGGCAAGGGCCTGGGAACCAAGCAGGCGCTGTAGTTCCTTCAGGAGAGGGACCTGGGCTCTGCAGGCAGTTATCGCTTTCCCCCAGGCATGCTATTCCATTTCTGGCTGCTCAAGCAGCTCTCTCGGGCACCGTCTCCCCTTTCCTGTGCAGCTTGTAATCACGATACAATCTCCGCTGTTCAAACACTCCCTTGCTTGATCAAGCAATGGCTGCACTCTCTAGGGAGGGGAAGCACGCACAGCCTGCCAAAATAATCGGCTCCTTGCCTTTTCCCCCCCGCACTGTTTAATTATAAAGCAAAGAGCAGAATCCCATTATAATTTTTGGCAATTTCCATCACCAACTGCACTGCCCAAAAGCAGGTTTTGCTTCTTGCTTTATTTTTCAGCCTTCATTTTATTAAAACAATTTCCCCCCCCGCCCCCCTTTCCAATTTCAAGGATGTGAACACTGATCCTGGGAGGGATGCTGTGACATCCCACGTGCTCTTAGGGGACACTTTCATCCTCCCCTAATTATACCTTTGTGGCTCATCCCCAGCAATAGCCGCCCTCCGCCCAGCACCTCCCAGCCTCCTCCTGCCAAGGTTTCATTACAGACTGTGGCCAGGAGACACAGAAGAAGATAACTTACTCTATTTCCCTTCTCACCAGGCAAACCAGCCAAGCCATCAAACCCTCGGTCACCCTAAAAGAAAAACCAGTTTAGTACACATTTCCACCTGCTGTTGAATATCCTTCCAACTTGTTTCCTTTCTGTGTCAAGGAGAGATTGATTTTCTCCCTCAGACATTCAGCCTTCACCTCCCATCAGACCAGTGATGATTTCAAAGTTAATAGATTAAAAAAAGAAAAAGCTCAAAGTAATTTTACCTCCTCCCTCTTCCCCCAGCACCTACAGTTTGAAATGTTTTTCCATGTGGATTTCAGAGCTCCATGAGCTAAAGCATCTCCCTTCTTCTTATTTTTAATCCCATGGAATTACGAATGACAATCCACTGGTGAGCAAACCGGACACTAGTATTCCCACGCCTGCCAACAGGTCCCCAAACACCACCCTGAGCTTTGCTACCATCCATCCCATCCATCCTTTCAAGGCTCCTGGACACTCCAAGGAAACAAATACATACACAAATAAATTCTGGAAACTGTCTCAATGAAGCCAGGGTGAGCAGACAGATCTACTTTGACCTAAGGCGGCATGTCATCAGCTGGTAAATTTGGTGACTTCCCACGGATGCTTAAGGGTCCGGCGAAAGGGGCATCTCCCCGCAAAGAGCTGCCTGCTCTGCCTGACCCCAACCTGAGCAGGTACGAAGCCAGCTGGGAGACTGGGGATGTATAGGGGACATACAGCCCCAAACTACCGATACTGGGAAGGCAAACCAAGGCAAGGATTTACGTCTTTTCTTACACATCTCCAGCAGCTCCTGCCACTGCCTACTGCTGTAAATGCAGCTCTGGGCCAAAGAGAGCTTTGGGCATCCTTCTGGGGAGCATGATGCCAAGCCCAAAACAATGAGCTCTGCTAAAAGACCAGGCGTGTTAATTTGTGCTTGGCACAGTGTTGAGAAAGTCATGCAACCTCACGCTGGCAGAGCCCCGGCAGCGCCTGCCAGCATCTGCCTGCAAATGACCATGCAAACGTCCCCTAAGCGCACTCCTCACGTCCCCTGCCCAGGTCCGGGGATGCTCCCCAAAGGAAGTGGGCAATGCTGAGAAATTTAAGTGTGAGGAAGAAAAAGCAAAACCCCGTTAGCCCTAGGGCAGGCGGGCAGCAGGAGCCCACCTTCCCGGGGCTTTTGCCCACGCAGCTCCTCTGGGTCGGTACGTGGAGAGCTCATGGTGAACCATGGCAAGCCGCAATGGCGTTTCTCTCCAACCGTGTGCCCTGTTCCACTCTCCTGTGTTCTGCAGGGAAACGGGGGCAGGAACGCACAGACACAGCCTTTTCCTGAAAGCCTCAACTCGTTGGAAAAGAGAGAAGACACAGGGGCATTTGCAAATCGTGGGTGACACCATCTCCTAATGCCCAGGGCAGAAGGCAGCGAGTACCACTCAGGAGGTAGAAAAGTCCCTTTTTCTCTGTAAAGAGGTGAAGCCACTTGTATTTTCACATAGTAATGGCATGTGAAAACAGTACCAGCTCCTCCCTTCCACAAATCCTTTACATTAGCAAGGAAAGGACAGTCGGTTACACCTGAGCAGCTCGGAGGACAGATCAGTCTGGCCAAGGCTGGCCGAGGTGCGCCCAGGGTACCCAACAGCTCCTTCCTTTTGGCAGGTCCTGGAGCATCGCTCTGTCTCTGCTCGCAGCAAATTTCCTTCTCCTTTCCAGCGCTGCTCGTTATTCTGTGTTCCCTTCTTCCCTGGCATCCACTCCTTTGAGGGCAGTCGACGCTCATTAAAGCACTTTACCGGATAAATGATTTGCAGTCTCCTGTCTCTGTATCAAAACCCCTCATCTATTCCAGCTTTAAGTATCTACATAATAAAGTACTTAAACCTTCTAATACATGATTCCCTGAGCAAACTTTCTCCGCGTTCAATTTCAGTGGAACAGCTTCTTTCTTGCTTGGTAATACCAGCAGATCACAGCTGAATGAAGGGATTTTGTCTCAAATAAAAATATAGGGCATTAAAATTCCTCACCACGCCTCCTCCATTTCCTCACCCAGTTAGTAGGTATTTTTTTGGTAGTTATATTTTAAGGTGTTTCCAACTGCTCATTCATGTTTTGTTTTTCATAATTGGGATTCCAAAGTATTTGTTCTACAACTGCAGCCAAGGGAGTGTGTTTCTTTCTTAAGAGGATCTGGCAATTTTAAAAAATTGCATTAAAAAAAAAAAGGGAAAAAGACAAGAAAGATTGCTATTCTGCCTTCTAGGTGTGTGTTTAACTTCCTTCTCTCAAACGTGGAGCAGGCGACTTCACAGGAGTCGCTGGACCATTTCAACAGCCTCCTCCAAGCGAGGTGGGCTCCTTCTGCCAAGGGTCCCTCCGTTCACGCTTGCTCGGAGGCGGATGCAATTTCTAAAAGCACAGAAACGCGCGGCACTACCTTTGGTCCTGTCTGGCCTGGCATTCCCCGGGCACCGTCGCTGCCAGCTCGTCCCTGCAGCAGAGAAAAGCAAAGTCAAATACAAAGGGTCAGGCGGGACCGCAGAGACATCTGCTCTTTGGTCTGCGGCCGAGTGAAGTTTTTATTTAAGTCGGAGCTCGCCGGCTGGGGAGCAGCTTCCCTTGGCGAGGGAAAAAATGCTGGTGGCTTTTGAAGGAGCATCCTGGGCTCAGCCTGGCGCTAACGAGGGGTGTGAGACAAACGGCAGCGAAGCTGCTTCACTGTATGGGATGCTGGGACATGGTCATTGATCCTAATTTGAAATAATTATCTTCCAGCACATTTTAAGATATGCTAATGACAACGTCTGCAAAGTGAAATGAGATTTTTTTTTTTTTAAATTTTTTTTTTAATTTTTAAAGCCAGAAGTGAGTCACACAAAAGACTTTCTTCTTCCGGCAAGCCGAATCATGACGAGCCAGAGGATAGAGTAAAATAAAAAATCAGCATTGGGGATGTGGACAGAGCGAGTGAGCACGACTTATGCCAGCTCCAGAACCCCTCCGGGGACTGGATCCTCCTCGCACACCATCGAGACCTGGGGACTGTCCAAACCAGCCCGGAGCTTTTATGCAGCTACAACCTCAACGCCGCAGAGCAGGGGGGGGAAAAAAAAAGAAAAGAAGACAACAAAGGAGTGGGAAGCGTGGACTTGCAGTTCTCCACACACTGCCCGGCTTTTAACTCTCATCCTCGTTTGCGTCTGCCCAGATGGACAGAGAGGACCTGGACAAGCCACCGGCTGGCTGCTGGCCCGCTCTTGTGCAACGCTCTGGGCGCTCAGAAATCCTTTGGCAGCACAAACAATTTCTAGCAGAAACTGGAGTTCGTGCAGCCATCAGCGCAGCTCCCAGGGCACTCACCCTGCGGCCTGGTTTTCCTGCCGGACCGGGAGGACCCTGGATGCCTCGTGGACCCTGCAAAGCATCAAGGAGAGAGGAAGAAATGCCATCGCCCAAAGGCAGGACAGACGGACCCAGTGCCTGCTGGCATCACAGAGCAGGCGCTGCTGGGGCCGTCAGGGTCACCGGGGCTACAAAATGGGACATGAACCCCTCGAGCAAAGCCCGTGGTCCAAAATACACAGGAAAGGCTCAGGACTGAGCATCTCCAGACAAGAATCGCGTGCGTTTATCCAGGAGGAAGCCTCTGCCCTTGCAAGCAGCTTCACATCGTGGAGACAAATCACTTCCTCCAGCATTAGCAAATGGGAACTTTCCCTTACTACAGGATTTACAGCTGGGAAGAACAATTTCCCCAAGCGTTAGCGAACTCCCCACACTCCAACCTATCTCGTATTTACAGGACTCCTCCGTGGATGTCTTTGCAGGAAAGGACAACCACCTGCAGAATTTTACACTGTTGGCTTAAAATTATGTCTCGAGCCTGCATTTGGCTACTCGAAGGGACATTTATATGCAAACCAGATGTTCCCACACCTTCCCACTGTCAGCTGGCACCGGGTCACCGAATCGCTCCCTCCCAGCAGCCCCTAAAGCGGGACTGGCTGCCCCACACCTTCCCTTCCCTCAGATCCCCCCGTCACCCAATTTGTCCACACTCACCTGAGGTCCCATCTCTCCAGCTTCTCCCTTTAGTCCTCCGCTGCCCGGGGGTCCCTTTGGACAGAGAACATGACTTATTACATTTTTCCACAACAGAGCCAGAGGGAAGATTCACACCATGTCAAGGAAGAGCCATTCGTGCAGGTAACCCAGAGCATCCACGGAGCTGGTGCCAGCTGGGTCTGCTCCGTCCTCGCTGGCCCGTTCACTTACCATGGGGCCCGGCCGCCCCGTCAGACCCATCGGACCCGCTGGTCCTCTCAGCGCCAACTGCAACAGAAAGAGAAACATTGCTCGGATGATGCCTCTGCTTCGTTGCTGCAACGGGACAAAGCCACCGTCGTGCCACCAGCCACACGTTCTCACCTCTGAGAACCACGAATCCTTGGAGCAATCTCCATATCCTCAGTGAATTTACCCAAGAACGTCCAACCTGCTGCCCCACCAAGTCCCTTCTGCATTCACAAACGGGCAAAGCCCCTGGACGGTGCGTGGGTCTGCTGAGAGGACACACGGACCTACACCCCGCACATCTGCACCGTGCACGTGAAGCACAAACCCCCTATACGGACACGTGTATATATATATATATACACACACACCCCCTGGCCCAGACCCAGGGCAGATGGAGGGGTGAGGAGCTACCTGCATGTAAATCGGATGGGAATCTGCCTCTGCAGCTCAGATCCCTGTCCTATCATCGGGTACAGGCAGAATTAAATGGTCACTTTTGGCAATAAATTATGGAAAGTAAATGACAAAACTTTGCCTGAGCAGGCTACGGGGGTTTGTTCCCATATCCTTATGATCCCAGTTCAGTTTAGGAGGACTTTTTCTTTATGATCCTAGGAGTTCAATTTAGGAGGAATTTTCTTCCTTTTTTTTTTCTGGTTACTTTTTAATATTCTGCAAACAGAACGACAATTCTATTTGCGACGGGGGGGCTTTTAGCTCAATAATTAAGGAGTCATGTAACCATGTATCAAGCCAGTAATTTCCATGGTGGGTAATAGGGCTGGTCCACACTTTAAAACATCACTTGGACAATTCGTTCTCTCGTGACAATTCAACACTTTAAAAGAGTTGTAATTATCTGTGTACTGCAGTAATTAAAATCTACTCGTGATTGCAGTTGGAATAGCATAAATATTGCACAAGTGCTGGATTATGTGGCATCTTTTTACAACACCCCATTAAAAGGGAGCTGCTCTGAAACACTGCCCGCTGGGACAACGTTCAGTGTCTAAAGAAAGCCAAATTTTAAGGGAATAAATCAACCTAATAATGCAATTAACAACAACGATAACAAGAAAAAAAAAACCCCCAAAAAAGGAAAGAAGATATCCTCCCCCTTGCAGGACTCCTTTTTCATTCCTGCCATATCCTGTAACTTCCCTGCAAAAAAAAGTCATTTATTTCCCTTTCTGCTTTGGTATCAGGGTTTTCAGCTGCAATTGTCTGACAATAGGTTGAAGTTCACCAAGAAATGGATTTTTTCCCTTTATGGAAGTATTCAACTTTTCATCCACAGGCCAAAACTCACCCAGGGTTTGTTTGGTTTTTGATCCCCCC